ACACACACAAATATATATATATATATCTATATATATAGTTTCCATTTAAAGTGAAATCTGCCCAAACAAAAATCATAGGAAGACTTCTACTTTAGGTCTTGTTCAAAGAAAGGTACAAATGAACAAAAGTGCCCAAAGGATGCCTAATATAGTTTCATAATGAAGCAAACCAGAAAGGAAATTAGGCCTACACAAAGAATAATCGTACTGAAAAAAGGTCTTTTGTATTCATGACAAAATCTAATAGTTAGCCGCAGCTGGAACTGTTGGGCCCACCCCAGAATACGAATTTTTCACAGAGAAAAGGAAGTAAAAGAAAGCTGAACTTGGTTGGGCCCCAGAATCAAACACATTCTTCTCTCACAATACATATCAATCTTTCCCTTGTCATAATTACCTCAGAATCAGCATTAAATCATTACAAAAGGAAAGAAACAAATCAGACAATGAACACTTCTCTCTTTTCTCGATTCCATCAAAAGCAACAGAAGGCTTCTCTTCTCTTTTTCTCCTTTCCCTGTTCGTACAGACAAAGTTCAAGCACGCAATCTATGAAAAAATAATCATCAGTATCTTTCTTTGCGGTTTAGTTTGCATGTCATTGCACCAGAAGAAAAATTTTATGAGATTCTTATTTTAAAGCTCCTCATATATTGGATCTCATTGACAATATGTTCATAAGTATCCCAGACAATATATATTGTTCATCGAAAGAAAAGATTGTGGACAAATGGTTTGAAAGAAGGTTCTGATACATCTGAAAGCAAATCTTAAATGATCACGTAAATGAAGATTGAGATAGATTCATCTACATTTGTTTAAGCATAATTAGTTTGAGTGTTTGACTGGCCATACAGTCTAAGAGAACCTACCCGAAGTTTTAACGATTGCTCACATTGTTGAGTGGTGTTCGCCCGCAAACGTACGGTGTCAAGTTACGATAGCAAATAGTGAGTGAGTATTGTCTTCAAAGGAATTAGGTATTAAATTACCGCTAAATACTACGATTATTGTAACTCAACTTTATCTAGGTAACTGAACTAAATAAAATTAAAATAGAACTAGAACAAATATAAATACAAAAATAAAATAAAATATGAAAATTTCTATGCACAAATATATTAGAGACTTGAATTCACCTTATCATTTCTATGTTCATCTTATCAAGCCAATGCTAGCCAATTCCACTCAATTCATTAATCAAAAGTTCTTATTCAACCTTATTACCTCTCTCGAGTATCGAATGAGATAATATGCATAAATATTCGAGTCAATATCTCTATCTAACCCGTCTACCTACACATTCATTAAGTTTAGCCCTTAAATTGGAAATCAAATCAAATGTCGATCGTCTCTCAGCTTCACAACAACTGAAATCCTAGTTGATAATTAAGGACTCGATCACCTCTCGGTCTCATAATATCCTAGACTCTCAATGAGATTATCTAAGTGTCGATCTCCTCTCGGACTCACAACAAGTTATACCATGTTTCTCAATTCTGGACTATAAAATCAATCTTTCTCGAACATCAAAATCACAATCTAAAATTATCTAACTCATTAGAGAAACATAAATAAATTAAAATATAATTTAAACTAACAATTGACAAAATATTCAAAACATAGTTCAAACAAGGTTACATCAAGTCCTAGAATAATAATTTAGCTCAACATATAGGAATCCATATCTAAAATTACAAATTCAAGAACAAAAACTAAAAAACTACAAAGGAAAGGGAGAAGGAAGAAAAAAAACTATTTGTGCAGATGAATTTCAAGTCTTCAAGTCCTCAAAAATCTCTCCCAAGCATACTTCAAGAATCTCCAACTCGAAGCTCCTCTCTCTAGGAATTCTTGTACCTCGCATCCTCTCCAAATAGGGAATTAACCTTAAGAAGGCTCAAAATTGAAGAAAATCTTCATTCAAACTCATCCAAAGGTCAAAAATGGCATTCCGGTGACGACCCTAACCTTTGATCGTCATCCTATACGCATACTTAACATTACTTAACCTCTAACACTTACTAATTATAACCTCTTAAAATTCAGGCCAATTTTTTTCATTCTTACCATGTACGTCTAAATGTTGTAGCATTTAGCTAGCCTTCTGTTTTCAACTATTCGTAAAATGTTGTAGCATTCTAACAGCATTCTGTACATTAGTCATTGTCAAAATGCTGTAGCATTCTGACAGCATTCTGTTACATTAGTCATCAAAATACATAAAACACTATTTTATTTTACACATAATGTTCAGCAGTGTTTCCAAAACACGTGATGCATCCATAACCCACTTGCCCACACTCCACTGCTGCATCCTCTATGCATGCCTAACAACAAGTTTCAGGGAGCCGGTGCCTTACCCGAGCTTCCTACAACACGAACAAACTTAATGAGCTTTCGCTCAGCAAGTATCAATAGGTCATAATAGATGCAATAATTATGCATACCCATATATGCATTCATGTCATATATCATAATACATTCTGTACTACTAAAACATGTATGGCTTATGTTCTTCTTCTTTCATTACATTCTTTGTTCCGCTTTTGTCTCATTTTAGTCGTTCATATCGTATTTTCATGTTCTGAACAACTTTCATTTTGTGTTTCTCATTCTTTTCATTCTTCTTTACAGATACCGTACCTTTATATGGAATGGTTTCTGTTTTTCATTTTCTTGTCTTTTACTTCTTATGGACCCTGTCTTGTTGTACCATAGCGCGCATAACCAGTGAGGAGTGGGGTAGCTAACCAATCCAACTCAGTCACGGTTTCATATTTTTCATAGTCTCATAATAACCTTTCCTTCGAAGGCTGGTACAAACAGGACGTTTAGTCTCTTACCGTTTATCAATTTTCTCATTGAAACGGTAACTTTAGTTAAATCTTATGAATTTGTGCCTTATTGAGCATTTAATCATGAGATTAACTTTTCGTTAAAGTGTAACATTTCATTTCTCTTAGTTTGATCTCGACTTAACATCGATACATACTTTTTGCATAATAAAGTTCTATGATTACATAAGTCTTGTAGATACTTACCTAACATAGTATCTAACATTCAAAATTCTACTATATGCACAATCTTTGTGCAACATAGAAAAGTAAGCTTGTTCGTGATATAGCCACATGATAACTATTGTACTTACAGAAGTTTTGCTAATAATGCGTCCTTTGTCTCCCTTGTTGCTGTCCGACTTCAACCGTTAATCGGCCGTATTGCAGAAATTTTTCGATCGTTAGATTCAAAATCTAAGATCAATAATTACATTGAAATTTACGTTGGAAAGGTCTACAATCCTTATGTTTGGTAGTCAACCTCAAACTATTTCCTATCTCAAGGATTTGCACTAAAATTGTGTAAATTACTCAGTCATGGACCTAATTTCCAGTTTCGGTCCAAAACTGTGAATTCTCGTTGTGTTCAGTTTTTAACCATCACCGATTATCGAAACATCTTTCTTTTCACACTTTAATCCTATATTTCTCTTGAAATCCAGTTTTAGTTCAAATTACTCAAACTAAATTTCGGCAGAGTTTCGCCTTATTTTTTCTCGTTTTCTGAGTTTTCAATAACTCGTTCTACTTCTGATTCTGGTACCTGGAGTCAAGATTCACATTCCTGAACACAGATTCCAACATAATATTGAACACAAACACATGTTCTTCCTCAATCTAGGCTCACAGATTTTCAAAGAAAATCCATCAAAACTTCGTTCAATCATTTTAATATTTATACCGTTAGACTCCTATTACGATGCTCTACAAAACTTCGGTTTTGATTTTTACTTTAACGGAAGTTTTTCGAGATGGGTTACTATTCATCTAACTCAAGATATCATAGAATTCTCATTTTTAAATCTGAAATCTTACCTCTAGAAGTTGAGGTTTTCTGCTAAAACGCCTCAGGTTACATTTCTACCGGACTGCACGGAAGAAATTTCAGTGATAATGCTTGATTTCCTTGAATTTCTCTTCTCCGTCTCTCTCTAATCTATTTTCTTTTTACTTCACTCTCTCACTTTTTTTTTCTCCTTTTCTCTGATATGCTATGCCTTACATTCACAAGTACATACCGTGAGTAATGGCCTCAGTAAGTTTTGCATTAGTTGCGTGAGTTACCAAGTCTATGTCCACACTTAAACAAATAACACAAGGTGGCTTCTAATTTCTTCACTTCACGTTCTTAAGGCATAAATAAATATAATAATAATATTTTTTATGAAACGTACTTAGAAATAATTATATATATAATATATATATATACATGTACTATAACTTTACATATTTTAGGAAATTTTACCCCGTACATAAATTTTTACATAACATTTTCTTGATTACATCAAAATTCTACTACTTACTATTCCGGAAAGAATTTCGGTCAAATACTGGACTGTTCGGATTAGACCTAAATTTTTCCCAGTCATTACAATTCCCCATCAATCAAGGGCCAAAAATGGCCTAAAAAACATGTTTCAGCACGAGGAGGGGCGCGGCTGGTGCAGCAAGCTTGGCGCAGGCGTTGCGCCAGACCCTGGCCAGGCTGCTCCAAGGCGTTTTTCACCCCATTTCACGCGGTGGCTTGCGCTGGTCCTTGCCCTTATCCGTGCCTCATCCCGATTGCTACCAAACTCCAATGTTTACCTTGTTTTCACCTAAATTCCCATTTATTAATGATTCTTACAAAATCACACACACAAAACACATTAAACTAAAAAAACACTTGGGAACTAACAAATATTTGAACTCAAAAGTACTTGATTTGTTGGTAAACAACCTCCTCATCAAGTGGTTGTGTTAAGAATTAGACACTAATACTTTTCCACTGAGAGCAATAAAGTCAGAAAATAAACAAACGAGTACACACAAGATGTATAGTGGTTCATCTTTAATGTGAGAGTTATACCCACTTTCATCTACTCTGGAATTTCACTATGAAGAAGAAGAAAAAGAAGATTATTACAAGAGAAATCGCACTTCATGCCTCTTTCGAACTTTGTGTTTTCTCTAATTAATCTCTCTTCATCCTAAAAACCGCGCCACACCTCAACTGGTTGGACTAATACCAAAAGCTTAGATTATGGATAAAATTATCACAACCATTTCGTCATGTTATAATGATAAATACATAAATTTCTTATTCAGATATGATGGCAGATGAAAAAACAACTGGTATTATTTGAATGATTGAGAAACGTTGGAGAATATCTTCTGCTGGGACTAAGAGTTATATTGTAATTACTTCAGAATCAAGTGCCAGAAATGGCAGAATCACATATCGTAACTGCCATTAAATTTATTTACTGAATTTTAGTTAAAAAGTCCCACAGATATCAATCAACCGGTAACAATCCTGGGGTCACTGTATGTATAGTGCTGCTAATCATAGTATCCATATGAAGCTCTATCAGTGCAGCAGCTATACATGACCATCTTATCCATGGGGTTGTTACATACAGCACAAGAAATTCCCTTCAATTGGGTGTTGGGCAATATCACATTGATGCAGTGTGGTAGATCGTTACAAAGCTCGTGATAGTACCTCGCCAGGGCGGTTACAAAGCCATAATTCTCTGCACTTTGCTTCCACTTCTCATGCTCAGTTAGAGCTTTCAACAATGCTTCTCCATCAGCCTCGAACAATAACGGGTTCTCAGATCCCCCGCTGATTGCAGCCCACCCTTTGCTGCTGGATCCAAAGCTAAGTATTTTAATTATCCCGCTAAATATAGGATTGTAGGTCTGTGCTGAAAAGACTCGATCATTCGGCAAGGAAAAATCGGGCATTGTTTCGTCTGTCATGGCTGCAAAGACTGGGTCCGTTGGCACAAACAGCTCAGACTTTGTTAACTCCTCTGTTATGCCCTCCGGGGGTTCAGAGATGCACATTTTCTCCATCCGTAACCAGAAGTAGGAGATAAGTTTCCACCCGAGCACTTTGCTTAGCTTTTCTCTTTGAATAGCATTGGCGATCTTCCTCACGACTCTCTCCCGAGCTCTGTCCTTACCAACATAAAGCATCTCCAAGTCAATCCCAGATCCTAGTGCAACACCTTTTGCAGTCCTGGTGAATTTCCGAATCCATTCTATGTCTTCTCCTCCATATAAGCAAATATGTTTTCCTTCTTGGATCTGAAAACCAAAGATTTTATGTGCAATTTCAATGCTTTATATGTAAAAATACATCACGTTACTGATATAAGAGTAAAACGTACCCAGTCAGGTAAATATTGGTCGATTCCTTCTGCAAGAAGGGAAACTGTCCAGCTCATTTTCTGCCACAGAGATGTCTCTTTGTCCAAACTAAAAGGATAAGCTTGGTTCCCCCAAATACAAAACATTTGGATCGCATCCTTGTGCACGATTTTGCCTTCGGTATCCATCACCACGAGAATTGGTTTCTTGACAAAGTTACACCTCTCCCGGAAGTATCTAATCACCTGCGAAGCTATCTCTGAAGGACGGTTCACTGAGAGCCATTCCATTTGGTCTCTTAAGCTCTCAAATTGCCGGTCTTTCCTATTCGTCCAATGATCCACAACAGGGACCCAAACTATCTCATACTGATACTCGATTCGCCTTTGATCATCCAGCATTTCAGGGTACATTTGCTGTAAGATCAAATAATCCTCAGTGACAATGTCGAGGTCTGTAATGTATAGCCCCACGACCTTTCCCCTTAAATCTTTTATGGAAACCTGTTTCAAAAAGATGGCTTTCACATCACATTAATAATGAAAGAAAAGTTTTTTATTCTGTACAGATTTTAATCTGTAGACATGACAGGCATCCTGATCTCCACTTCAAAATAGAAAATTATGAGAACAAAAGATCAAAAGATTGGCCAAACAGATTTGTCCTTCACAATGCAGATAAATCTCAACTACTTTGATTTGGGATGCAATATATGGTATTGTAGATAGAGTTTTTAAGAATGGAAGAGAGAATGAGATATAGGGAGCAAACCAAATTCTGGTGAAGGCAATCAAAGAGTGCTTGCTGATGACCATTCTCGTGAAACAAAATGTTGAGAGACTTTGAGTTATCGATATGTGACGATTCTAAAACCCGTGCTATCCCATCAAGTATTTCATCATCTTTCTTCTTCTCTGTATCAAACAATTTGCAATCACTTATTATGCTTAGACTAATAGCACAATGCAAGCCCTTGATAGAGTATTTTGTGTGGTCCACACTCAAATTAAGCACATAAAATAGGACTCACCAATGAATCTATAACAAACATTGATTTGATGCACAAGTTGGCTTCGTATTTTCTCAAGCTTATGGGCCAAAGATGCCACATCCCATGTCTCCAATAATAAGTAACTGAGACAGGCAAAAGGTGCAACAGAAATTTAAAAGTTTACTGTAAATAACCTTCTCTGCTTCTACACAGATACAATAATATGGTTTATGTAGACATAAAAATTAACATATGAATTCAATGCACGTAGTCAAATATTATCATGAACAAAGGCAACGTACTTGGGACCGATGCCTATGAGTCCCACAAATTGTGATGCGCAATCCACTGTACCCCGGATGGTCCAGTAAACAGCTATGGCAACATCAGCACTACTAGTAGCTATAACTTCAGGGGATTCAGCAGTGAAGTCTTCCTTGCAGAAAAGCTCACATAATTCCACAATTGTCTTCACCATGTCAAGTATTGCCTTGATCAGAACAAAAAGGACCTTAAGCTTTGGTTTCATATTCCCAGAAAACTCCAACATTTCTGGCAATTTCTTGAGGAGTGCAACAGCCTTGGCAAGAGGGTTGGTGAAATGAAGCTGGGCAACCAGCCGAAACCCGCCAAAGTTCATAGCAAAAGCTGCCACAACAAGCACCAACTTTGCATCCCAATTGTAATGTTTGATCATATGCAGTATGTCCATAGTTGTCTTATGCGCATCTCCTCCGTCCAACCAATCGCAAAAGATCTGCCTTGGCATTTCAGAAATCAGCTTATCAGCATTGTTTCAGATTCCTTCACATATAACTGAGTAAATAGCTCATTATTAGGACCACAGAGCAAAAAAACACATTTGACATCAGTAAGCTATTTATTGTACTTAACCATGTCAGAGATCGCAGTGGTCACTCTCGGAAGTTCAAGCCTGTCATGGGGGCCAGAATAAACGGCCTTATGATCATCTCCATCTTCTTGTGACAGCAACCCCTATTACACCATACGTGCAAATGACCAAGATTTAAACATCATTAAATCCAGTTTTGCAATAAAAATAATCTCTTCAACATTATGTTAAATAAGGTGCCAAGAGCAGTTACTAAAGGCCCTTCCATACCTGAATTACACCAGGGAATTCTGCGGTGGCACCACCAAAGATGAGCTCAATTATGTCAAGAACCGGCTTGAGAGGAAAGGCAAGCTTATCATAATCATCATGAGTCTCAAGAACTTCATCTATCAGCACACCCTCATAGTATGAGGACATAGAACGATTTGAAGCTTCATCTCCTTTGGGCTGCGTAATCGCCATCTTGGTTGCTTTCAAAAAGCTCGAACCGCTTGCTTTCGCCATTTCATACTGGGTTCACTGGCATTACAACAAAAACAGGGTTGATCAGAAAAAAGAAAAAAGAAAAAAAAGAAAATTGTGGGGGCGGGGCTTATTTCAATTTCTTTTGTGTGGAAGACAATTTTCAGTTTTCCCAAAAGAAAATTAAAAATATACAACTTTTACGTTCAATATTTCATTGTCTTCTTGAAGGTGCCATTTTCCAACGTACTGATACTGAACATCTCAGCAAGAAAAGCAAATTTGAAGTTGACAATATTCTCTCTTAGCTGTATTATAGTTTTTGTTCGAAAGTTACACGACAGAATATAATTCCATCATTCACTACTATATCTCTATGGATATGATTAAATTGCAGCTTATAATACGTATAAACTTCCAGTTCTGTTGAAGCCTCCAAAGCATGAATCAGGAGTCAAGAAGAAGTTGGCTTTAAAGGGAAAATGAATGTACCTTCTTTGAAGAGGAAACGACGGATTGTAGGGATGAAGAAATCTATATCACGCTGAAAAAAAAAGGGACATGACATTTCTTGATTCCATTGAAAGTAATCGACTTTTTGGTCCTCTTTTTTTTTTTTTTTTTTTTTTTTTTTTTTTTTTTTTTTTTTTGCTTGTTACTAACTTTCCCTGTTGTTCTTCCTTAACTTCCCCCATTTGTATATTTTCTAGTTTGAGTTGTTAACATCGTTAGTCCATGAGCGATGAACATTTACAAAATGCGGTCCTTAAATTTTTTTTGCTGGCAAATGACTCCTTTAATTGTTATATTTTAACAATTTTAGTCTCTAATATTAAAATTGACAAAAGATTTCTAAAATTTAATACAAATAATCACCTCCCAATTACAAAATGAAAATTTCCCTTCAAAAAATAGATGAAAATTTTATACAAAGTTGTATTAGATGCAAAATATTTTTTTATTGTTATTAAAAACTCACAAACTAAAACATCATAATTTTAACGCAATTTTTCCTAAATGTCTGTTATAATTATTAGCCCTTCCTCACAAAAAATTATAACTTCATTACTGAGGCAAAGTATCAATACTAAAAAACTACTACAAAATATACTACAGTAACATCATTTAAGTTTTGTGTACTGAGTAAAATTATATTTATACTTTTGTGTATTTCATTTAATATTTTTAAATTTTATGAGAATTTTGTGATTTTTCATGTATGTATTTATAATTTTTATAGATTTTATTATTTTTAAATATTTTTTTACTATAACATTCTATGCAATAATTTATTCTGCTGACCGAAACTTATGGTGTTGCTGTAAAGAGATTTTTTTTCACTTAGCAACCTCCTGTTGCACCCCTTTCAAATTTATAACCCTCTTATAAAATTTATTTTCTTTTCAATTTATTTTTCTTAGCTTTTAACATAGAAAGACCAAATTACCCTCACTTTTAAATTGAAAGAAAATTGAGAAGGCCCGAAGTAGCAATTAGTTCCCACGAAGTTTTTTTCCCCAAAAACTGAAACCAAAAAACAGAACCCTCCCTACTTCTGACTCCGTTCTTCAGCCTTCCTCGTCCTTCTTCCTCCAAAATAGCAAACCACCAACAAGCTCCGGTCCGACGCAATCAAGCCTCCAGCTCCATCTTCGGCCACCCAAAATCTCCGGCCCCTAATTCCGTCTGATACGCCGCGACTCCACCCGCAGTTCTAATTGGAGTTGCGCCGCCACCTCCGACTTAGACGATGAGGTAATCTCCCCCATGCAATGTCACCCGCAGTTCTCTGTTTGGTTTTTATTTTTGTTTTGTCATCTAGGTTATTGGTTTTGTGTTCTTGGTGTGAATTATGACTTGTTTAATTATTGCCCATCATATGTTCAATAATAGTTCTGTGTGTGATGAAAAGCCTGTTTAAGGTTCTTTTTTTATGGAACTGTATCACCATGCAAGAACTGCGGTAGGTCCTCGTTAAATTGAGAGATTGTTCTTAAGACTTGTAACTTTTATTGTTTGGAAACAGGTTGAACTTAATATGGCGCGAAAGCGGACCACACCGGCCTCCTCTCCCCATCCAACCCAACGTTGTCGAAATGTGGAGCCGTTAGACTCAGAGTCAGAAAATAACTCCGAAGGAATAAGTGCGACTCCACCCCAGCCGGCTTATGAGAACAACCAGCCACTCTTAACACTATCACCATCAATGCTAACCACTCCAAGCACGGTAGAGACACCACAATCACGGACCTTGGAATCATCAATAAGTTTTTGGCTTTTTAGTATGTTGCCTCCATTGTTAATCAAGTCAATATCGCATTTTATCATTCAAAATAGGCCGCGGAAACATGATGGTTGTTCATTTTTAAGCCATATGTGTAGTGCTTAAGATTTTGACGAATTGGTACATATAACACGAGTATTGTAGGCTTGCGATGCCCTGCTACCTAAATTCAAATTATCTTGGTAGCGCATGAATTTTAAATGTAAAATATGATGGCGTTGACGCTTGTGAAGCCAATGAAAGAAATGATGATATTGGAATTGATGACAATGGACTTAGTTGTGGTGTTAATTGTAGATCTGATGATGTTGGCGTTTGTGAAGATGGTGCAAGAAAAGGTGAGGCAGGAAATGAGCAGAGCATAGTCGGTGATGGTGATACGTTTTATGATTCCCCGACTTCATCGAGGGATGATGACTACGATGATAACCTTGTGGACCAAAATTTCGAGACCGAGCAACCTATTAAACGACCGAAAAGATAATTGAAAAGGTCAAAGTACAAGAGAATTCCGTTCACAGATCCTTAAGGATGACTTTTACTACTTTTATGGATCCTTAAGTGTTCTTTTTTATTTTGTTTTTTTTTTCTTGGCTCAAGGATTATGTTTAAAACTTATTTTGGATGTTAAACTAAGTTACAGTCTGATTTTGTGCAATTTTTCTTACGGTTAGAATATGCAGTATGTGGATTGTGTTTTTTTAGCGTTTAGATTGGTACCAGTAAGAGCGGTCTGAATGGACCCGAGAGATTTATGTAGAATTTGAACTCTTCTTACCGTTCAGACTGGTACCGGTCAGAACAGTTAGAAATGAGCTGAGAGATATATGTAGATTGTGCAATTTTCTACCATTTTGAGTGGTAGCGGTTAGAACGGTTAGAAGTTACAGTATGAGTTGTGAACTTTTCTTACCGTTCAGATTGGTATCGGTCAGAACAGTCAGAAATGAGCTAAGAGATCTATGTCGATTGCGTATTCTTCTTACCGTTCCGATTGGTCTCGATCAGAGCGATTAGAAATTAGTTGAGGGGTCTATGCATTTTGTGCAACGTTTTTACCATTCAAATTGGTACCGGTCCGAACGGTCAGAAATTAACCGAGAGGTCTATGTGGATTGTGCAATTTCTAAACGTTCAGATTGGTAGCGGTAAGAACGGTTAGAAGTTACAGTATGACTTTAGAACTTTTCTTACCGTTCCGATTTGTACCGGCAGAACGGTCAGAAATGAGCCGAGGGGTCTATGCATTTTGTGTAACATTCTTACCGTTCAAATTGGTAGCGGTAAGAACGGTTTTAAAATTTCTTTTAAGTTTGTTTATTTATTGAAGTTTAACATATTGTGTAGAGAAGTAATTAAGTTAAATTAAAACTTGGAAAAGAATTAGTGAGACAAAATTACGGAAGTTGAAATTTAGATCATACATTTTAGAACATGAATCATTACATGGAGATCTTGAGCAAGATTAAGATCTTATATTTATGTTGTTCTTATGGTGCTACATTGGACAATAATGCATCCATCATGTAAACTTGTAAAATTATGATTGATAAATATAATGATCGGCTCTTATTATCACACTAAATCTAATTTGTGTTGTTTAGAAGATAGTGGTCGAGATTTACCATAATGCAAGGCTCTCATGATTACACTAAACATGGTTTTTTTTCTCAAGGATGACTTTTATAACTTAGTAGTGATGTTGAACTAAGTTTCAAATCATTATACATTGGTACCAGTAAGAGCGATTAAAAATGACCGAGAACATATGTTGATTGTGTTTCATTTTTATCATTTAGATTGGTCCAGTAAGAACGGTTAGAAATGGCCGTGACACGTGTTAAAATTGTGTTCCTTTCTTACCCTTCAGACTAGGACCGGTAAGAACGGTTAGAAATGGTCGTGACACGTGTTAAAATTGTGCTGCTTTCTTACCCTTCAGATTGGTAGCGGTAAGAACAATTAGAAGTTATAGTATGAATTTAGAACTTTTCTTACAATTCAGACTATGACCGGTGAGATCTGTTAGAAATGGTCGTGACACGTGTCAAAATTGTATTCTCTTTTTACCCTTCAGATTGGTAATGATAAGAACGGTTAGATATTACAGTATGATTTTAGAACTTTTCTTACCGTTCAGATTGGTACCGGTAAGAACTGTAATATCCGGAAAAATCCAATAATTAATAAGTATAATTAATTATGGATTTTTCATAATTACGTCGATAGATTCATAAGAAAATATAAGTACATGGCTTATAATGTTAAGCTTTGATATTAGTTACGAGATATGGTTATGAGAGAGAGAAGAAAAAATATAAAAAGAGCCAAGTTTTAACTATTGAGCCTAAAAATAGTTTTAAGACTTGAAATAGTCCAATTTAGTATACAATTAAGAATATAAAATAATATTGAATTATTCTTATATTAAAATTGGACTGTAAGTGAATAATAAAAGAGAACTCGTCGGAAAATTAAATTTTATGTCGATGAAATAAATGATCTCTAGCCAGAATAAATTATATCTGTTCAGAGATAATTTTTAAGGATAAGTTCTAAAGTTTCACTTTCTCTCTCTCTTCTCACGCGTTTGTTTCTCTCTTCTCTCGGACGTTCTCTCTTAAAAATGAAACCGTCCATGGCCAAAATCTCACTTTGAGATTCAGACCTCCGTTTTTTACACAGCTGGTGTCAATGGAAAGCTTTCGACGAGCTGAGCATTTTGACAGGTCGCACGACCCCAAACTCTGCCGGAATAAGCCGTAATCGCCGGCCGAAGTTTCAAAAACAACCGAAACTTTCGATCGCGATATTTCCTTCGTCCTACCTCCGATTGAGGTGATTTCAATCCCTATGGACTCAGTGCAGCGTGACGAAGAAAACCCACCCATTTTCATAGCTCAATTATGGCCGGAGCACCGCCGTACGTGGTGGTCGGAATCCCCGCGCCGCCACCGTCATTTTTCTTCCTCCGGGACGCAGTGGGTGTCACGACCCCTACCATTTGATTCAGAGTTAATAGACGAGTCGATCCCAACCAGATTCAGCCATCACCGTCACCATTTGGCCAGAAAACGGAGCTCGCCGCCGCCGTCGTGATGGTGTAGGTTGGTTCCGACGATCGGACTGTTAGATCGTTGTAAGTTGGTGTCAAAACACTCATAAGATCATGGGTAAGAAAACCCCTCAACTAATTTTAGGATTTCATGACCAGAAATGTGAGATTTGAGTCGCCGGATTTTAGCGACGTTGCCGGTCCCGATATGTACTGTTACAGGTTGAATGGTATGAAATGGACCACACCAATAGACTCAGAAGGGTCGATTTATGGGGGGTAGGACCCAAGTCCACCGCGAAAAAATTCTTCAGGAGCATGCGCCGCCGTACGCCGCCGTACACCGCCGCCATATTCCGGTGAGGTGTCGTTTCTCAGGCTATCGACTTCCGTTTGATGATCCGAGACCATATCCTGACCCGTTTCGACATGCTGAACGTAATGGTGTCCTCCGCTCGACCAAATTCAATTTTGATAAAACTAGTATGGTACCGGTTGCACGCGGATCGAGGTGAATCGAATGGATTCATTGAAGTTCAGAATTGAATGTCTAACGCATTAATGTTGCTAGTGGATCATGCAAAGCGTTTATGATTTCTCCTAGAACGGATATCAAGGAGATACGTAGTGGAACACGACAAGCGGGTATTACCGGAACCGCTTAGCTCAGAATTGAGGCAAGTACAGTATGATTAATGATAAGTAATTTAGAACATATGATGTCCATGGGATATGTTATTTATGAATTCACGAATTCGTAAAGGCAATTATGGAATATAGAATTATGAGGATTTAACTAGTCCTTATAATAGAAATTTTAATTTTTATGATCCTTAATAAAAAGGATAAATACGTTCTATAACAAAGGATTTAATTTCCTTTATGACTATCCTACATAAAATAGCATACTAAAGGCTAATCCCACCATCTGGATGGGTGTTTATTTACAGAACTTAGCAGTAAAGGATAGAAGATCTGGGCGAGTAGAGAATTATGCTATAACTGTAAAGCAGGTAAGTACAATAGTTTTTCTGTAGCTATATCACGAACAAGCTTACTTTTCTATGTTGTACAAAAATTGTGCATATAGTAGAATTTTAAATGTTAGATACAATGTGAATGCTAGATACTATGTTAGGTAAGTATCTACAAGACTTATGTAATCGTAGAACTTTATTCTGCAAAAAGTATGTATCGATGTTAAGTCGAGATCAAACTAAGAAAAGTGAAAGGTTAAACTTTAATGAAAAGTTAATCTCATGATAAAATGCTCAATAATGCACAAATTCATAAGATTTAACTAAAGTTACCGTTTCGATGAGAAAGTTGATAAACGGTAAGAGACTAAACGTCCTATTTGTACCAACCTTCGAAGGAAAGGTTATTATGAGACTATGAAAGATATGAAACCGTGACTGAGTTGGATTGGTTAGCTACCCCACTCCTCATTGGTTATGCGCACTATGGTACAACAGGACAGGCCCCCTAAGAAGTAAAAGACAAGAAAATGAAACACAAAAACCATTCCATATAACGATATGGTATCCGTAAACAAGAATGAAAAGAATGAGAAACACAGAACGAAAGTCGTTTAGAATTCTGTACTAGGCTATATGACATGAATGCATATATGGGTATGCATAATTATTGCATCTGTTATGACCTATTGATACTTGTGGGCAAAAGCTCATTAAGTTTGTTTGTGTTGTAGGAAGCACGGGTAAGGCACCAGCTCCCTGAAACTTGATGCTGGGCATGCAGAGAGGGTGGCGCAGCAGAATGTGGGCAAGTGGGTTGTGGACGCATCATGTGTTTTGGAAACGCTGCTAAACTTTATATGTAAAATAAAATAGTGTTTTATGTATTTTGATGACTAATGTAACAGAATGTTGTCAGAATGCTACAGCATTTTAACGTACATGGTAAGAATGAAAAAAAAAAGGGCCTAAAATTTTAAGAAGTTATAATTAGGGTCGTCATAGAGGTTAAAAAATGGTAAGTATGAGTATAGGATGATGACCAAAAGTTAGGGTCGTCACAAGAACGGTTAGATATTACAGGTCAATGCAAAATTCTAAGACAAAATTTACAAGTCCCGACATATTGCTACATAAACGCGATCATAGTCATATTGATACTCATATTCAAACAACTCAAATACTAAAAAAAGCCACAAGCTCCGACATATTGAAAAAAACATGGATACATCCACACTTATTCCAATGGGGACATCATTTCTGAGCTTTCCTGGCGTAGTCGCTTCCTTTTAGCTCTCCCATGCTCTCCAACTGAAGGAAACCTGGTTTTTTGAATTGGTATACACTTTTTAGTGAAATCATGAGGTAACACTTTTTCAGCTTTTATGTTGTGGGGAATGTCCCATTCTGACGAGCTTGGTACAGAATATATGGTTTCAACATAGGCCAACGCCTATAACTCTTTTAGATAGTATCTTGAGCAAAGATTATGCATATTGTTTGGGCCATCTTCATATGCTGCAAGGACATGTGTGCATGGGAACTTGTCTATATCATACACTTTGTAGGTGCAAGTTCTCCTCAACAAATCAACCAGAAAACTTCCATCCTTCCCCGTCACATAGTACTCAAGCGCGGTTGTGTTTAGTTCTTTCACTTTTAAGAATGTGGACTCTTTTAAGAATGGAATAAAGCTACAAAATCTAAAAACTATAGTGAGTATCATACTCGTTCCTACTGAAAAGATTGTTCCGACCGGTTTTAAATTTTCTTACCAGTCACACCGGTAATAATAGACTGACTAATCAACTCGTTCTTACTGGAACGATTGTTCTGAACGGTTTGAAATTTTCTTACAGGTCACACCGGTAAGAAAATTTGAGCTCAACCTGTCATGGTTTCCATTTAATTCTGAGTACTTAATGTATGATTTCAAGTATTATGACTTTGTCTTCCGTAATATGTTGTCATGTTTTGTCTTTTTTTTCCTCCACACTAGGGGTGCTTTAATAAATTCATGTTGTGCAAATAAAATTTCCCTTCATAATTTTCTCTTTTAAGAGAGGAAAAATTCTAAAAGAATGACATAAAACTTTTATTAGTTAAGAAGCACATTTCATAATTCTCTCTGTTCTTCACAAATGAACTACAGTTGACTAAATTTCTTTATCCTTTCAAAAAAAAAAATTTGTTTTTCTTTATAAAGGTCAATTGTATTCGAACAAATTGGACTAGAAAAGTATGGATCATTGCACACTGATTAACTCTAGTTTCTAACTAAAAGAAAATCTTGCCGTTTAAAAATATTCATCTTTCCATCTCCAACAGCAAAACTTTTCATAAACCTATAGTATTTTTCAAAAAGTAAAATAAGACCAAATATAGTAATACATTTATGCAATTAAAAAAAAAAAAAAAAAAAAAAAAAAAAAAAAAAAACCCCTTAATTCATTCAATAAAAAAAACCCCTTATTTTAAAAAAAAAAAAAAAAAAAAAAAAAACGTCAAACTACTCACTCCGTTTAAATCCGTAAAAAACTCCTTATGTCTGTCAATAAACATAACTCCTTATGTTAAAGAAAAAGAAAAAGAAAAAAAAAAGTCGTTCTTAAGTTTCTCTCACTTTAATCCCAAGTTTAGATTGGCAAAACTAAAGTTGTTCTCCGGCAGCATATAGGGCAGCCTAAGCTTAGGCTGATGCCTCGGCCACACTTGGTTTATTTATAGACTACAAACTTCTCCATTGGACGTCTACATATCACACAAACTTCCATGTCTTCTCTTCGCTTTCCATACTCTTCGGAAACCAGTTCAGAGTGGCCACAAGGCTCATCAAGAAGTGGGGGCTCAAGGGCAGTTTTAATGGCAACCAAAAATCCCAACTTCCCCACATTTTCTTTCCACGCCTCAAAGTCATTTAGACACTCCATGAGCTTCATTCCTTCAACTCCAACAATGGTCTTTGAAGATCCTCTCCCTATCAACGCCCAATCCTGGTCGTTTTCATCCATGTCTATCACATAGGACACCTCTTGTAGAAGAAGGCTATTATTAGTTGCCGCGGTGTCGCCTTGTCGGAGTTTCAATCTTATTATGCTCTCCATTCGAAGCCAGAAGAATTGCATTAGTTTAATTTGAGACAAAAGGCTTAGAAGATGTTTTCCATCTTCAAGTGTGTGTAAAATGTTCTTCACTACATGTTCTCTTGGTTTCCTCTTGCCAACGTAGACCATCTCGAGCTTCACACCCGTGTTTTCGGTTATCTCCTTCATCTTGGAATTCAGTTTTAGAATCCAATCCTTGTTGTTGCTTCCGTAAATGCAGAGATATCTGTCTTCTTGTACCTGAAAATTAATGAAGTCATGATCAAATGTTTGATGTGAACAACTAGTTCATCTACCGTTGAGAATATAAAGCACTCTCAAACAGAGAATCTTGCTAATGGGGTAATTAGGAAGTCCCACGATAACTGGCGGTAAATTGCCGCTGTATCTTAGTAAAATGTTGAAAAGTGCACCGAAATGGATAACTATAGTTAAAATTTGAAAGGAAACGCCATCATCACGTGACATGACACGACATGCTCCACAAATTCACTAAACTTGTATGGCGGCGTTTTCATCCAAATTTTAATGGTGTTATTGATTTAGAATAATTAAGAATAAAATGTCTATTTGTAAAAAGTTTAGGGGGAAAATGTATCAAATTCCGTGTAAAAAATATGAGTTTTTTTTTTTTAATTAAACGGAAGCACATTATAATTTTCCACCTAATGGGAAGTCATTCTTTTCTCCTTAAAAAAATAAAATAAAATAAATATAAAAACACTTTCACATGGAGGATGAGATTCATACCCGCTTAGTAAGCAAGGGATCAATGTCATCCACTAGAAGTTGAAGCGTCCATTGCTCTAGCCAAAGTTCTTGTTCTCTTGAATCCGAAAAAGGGTATGCTCTGGGACCCCATACAAACACCATGTCCATTGCATTTTTGTTTGAGACGTTTCCTTGTGAATCAAGCACAACCATAATTCGGTTGTCTGCGTACTTCCATTCTTTTCTGATAAACTTCACTGCTTGCAAGTGAAGTGACCATGGATGCTTTATTAAACACCAAGGCAAAGAATGTGAGATACGTCGGAAACTTCTCTTTTCGGCGTCGGTCCAAGAATCAGAGACTGATATGGGAATCCACACAATTTCATAGCTAATTCCCTCTAGGTTTTGGTTGTGATCAGGATGATCATATGTTTGCTGAACCAGAAAAAGTGACTCCTCTGTGGAGAGAAATCCTGGCTTTGAAATCAAAAGTATGACCACCTTGTTTTTCAGTTCTGTCAAACCAATCTGCATTGACACAAGTGACAAATATGCCAGAAGACTTAAGTTATTAAAAACTAATTAGTGCAAAGTTTGGGACAAAACAAGGCCTCAAGAAAAAAAGTGAAAGAGAAAAGGAAAAGCAAAAACATGCCTTTGTTTGGGAGGAGCAGTCAATGAGTGGAAAGTCATCTGTGGAGGCAAATAACATCCGAAGAACTTGTTGGTTATCATTATGGGCCTCCTTAAAGATATTCAGCAGCTCTTGATCGAGCCTTTTCTCTATTAAGTTTTGCAAAATAGTGGGGTCATGAGTCCATCTATGGTTCGAAGTTTAAATATTCAATCAAAGTCAAAAGGTTTTAAAAATTGCAAAAGTATTGTTTTTTTAGTAACCTGTTTCTTGACTGAATTCTTCCACATGGCCCTTGAATTGACTGCACATGCCCTTTAGCCGACGGACCAAACTTGAGAGCTCCCATGTTGCGATTGTTGCCGAATCTGAGTACTTGAAAAAATAATTCAATGTTTTCATCCATCAATAGAACAGTTTATTTTGTTGTCAAATAAGCTAATGAAACATTCAAGCCATATTTTAGAATCAATAATATGATACGAAGAATGCACAAATCTATTGAGGGAAGAAGGATGCACTTGCTCAGGTTTCAGTTCTCTGAAATCTCTGATTTGAGAACAGCATGTCAAGATACTTCTGATGATCCAGTAAACAGCTGAGTAAAGATGAAGCTCTTTTATGGATTTGGCTCCAATGTCCAACTTAACATGTGAAAGAGGCAAGCTTTCAAACTTGACGACACACTTGGTTAAGTCTATCACTGTCTTCATCAGCAAGCTCAGGGCCTTAAACTGCCGCTTGAAGGTGCTCAGATCACTCGGCAACTGCTTAAGCATCACGACCGCTACTGCCACGGGGTTTCGAGGGTATAACTGCATTAGGAGCCAGAATTCACCATAGCTCGTTGCAAAGGCTGCAAGAGCTAAAACTGCTTTGTCATCCCATCTGTAGTTTCCTAGCAAATCGAACAACAACATAGTCCTCTCGTGAAGAATTCCTTCCGTAGAGAACTTGCATATTATCTGTCATCGTTTGAAGAAATTGAATATCACATTGAGTGCCTGATGATCAGTAGGAGGAGGATCAGAGAAAGTATTACCTCGTTCGATATCTTCTGGACAATGTGCGCGTATGGTTCTTCTAATCCAATTATTTCGATCCCAGTTATTTCCCTTTCTGCATCGGTATCAAAATGTGGATCTGGAACCTGAAACGACTCCTAAAATTAGTCAACTACTTCGAACAAATAAATCAAAACTTATTAAGCATAGTCTCAAATGGCACAATAGTTAAGCAATTTGAGAGCAGGTTTTACATATCACTATATGGATTCCAGTAAAATCTTAATACTATATACCACCCCATCATGTTCATGTTGTCTAATTACGACAGGAAAATGTTTTCTAAATGTGAAAATCCCATTAATGCATAGAAATGACTCGGATGAGCAATGAATCGAAAGAAATGATCTGACTAGATTTTGAAGGTTACTAGTACTTCTGACATAGTAGCATAAAGCACGATGTTCTCCATCGCTTGAAGCAGATGGTCCGAATCAAGATGACGGCCATCGGGATCATGGCTTAAGAGTAAGTTCTTGATCAAGATACCGTCTAAAGGTGATTTAGAATGTACAGTAGATAAGGATTTACTTCCTTGCAAGCTCATGGCGAAAGTTATGGTGAACAAAGACAAACTAATGCATAAAATAATGTTATGAGGCTACATTACAAAGAAGCACAAGAAGACATCGACTTTGGTAGAGAATAAGTGAGGTTTATGATTTTTCCTATCATGTGGAGACCACAGAAAAAGAAAGAAGGTTCGTTCTAAAGATAGTTGAGTTGCACACGCCAATTACAATTCATGATCTTTCCCTTTTTCACTTTTACTATTTTTAGTGAGGACCGATTTCACTTTTACTATTTTAAGTGAGGACAAGCATCAACAAGTACTCTACTGAGCAACAATGATCATGAAATGGGTAATCATCTTTTTTAATCTTTGTGGTTCGTTTGGGAGCAATATTTCAAAAAGCAAAAAGAACGCTACATTCTTGTAAGCTTTTGGTACATGTTGTGCAAATATACGCAAGGAGGAAAAAAAAAAAAAAAAGGAAGAAAAATTAGAATGGGAAAAGAAAAGGGTTGCACCTAAAGTATTTAAGGGATTCTTTTTATTTTTATAATTTTTATAAAAAAATATATATATCATGCATTTTGAGGTTATTAAAAAACCGTATTTTACATTTTGACGGTGTCATATCTATATTACTTCACATTTTGGAAAGGCGATATTTACCTTTTTATACTTTGTGTTTTAGATTTATTTAAAAGTTATATTTTTAATTTTTAATCTTATTAAATGTTTAATTTTAAATTAAATTTAATATCTAAATTTATACATTTCCACAACCAACCCTTAATTTCAACCTTAAAAATACCTAAAATAGCCTTGAATAAAAAAAGAGAAAAAAATTTTGAAAACAACCTTAAACTTACAGTTTTGACCTCAATAATATACAAAATACCACTGAAATGATTTTTTTTTTTTTTGTGTTTTAAATTTTTATTGTTTGTAATGTTGGAAAATTTTAGTTTCTTTTCTCTTTTTTTTTTGGGATAGTTTTGTCATTTTAAATGTTAAAATCAATTATTGACCAAAATAAGGTATAGATTCATGTATTAAATCTAATTTGAAGGTATACATTTGATAAGATTAAAAATTGAAAGTATACATTTTGAATAAACCTAAAACATGTGGTATAAAAATGTAAATATCCCATTCAAAAAGGGTTTTTGGCACAATTGCCCCCCGAACTTGTCTTAGTTTAGCAAATTAGCCCCTAAACTTTTAATTTTAGCAAGTTGTCCCCAAACTTGTAAATTTATTGCAATGTGTCTCATTTAACTAAATTTGCTCAAATTTTTAATTAGATTTAAGAGATTAAAAGTTGAGATAATGAAATATTTGTGTTACATTTGAATTAGAGTGTTGGAATTTTTAGCTAAACGTGTTTTTTTATACCAATTTAACACAATCATCGTCAAAATGGAATATTTTACAATAATTTTATAATTTGTGTAAGTAACTTATTAAAATTAAAAGTTTGTGATACAATTTACTAAATCACAATAAGTTTAAGGGTAATGTGCTAAAAACCCCTTCAAAAATAAATAGACGAATTTATAGATCATGATTTGATAGAGATGATTATGTGGAATCATGGTCTGAGATTCTGTGTTTAGTAACTTGTCCGATTCCTGGAAAATAAATTTTGTGTTTGGTGCATCTTCAGATTGGACTAAAACAAATAGATTACTATTTCCTTTTTGTTTTGTCGTTTCTATTCCATGATATTCATCTGCCATGTCATCCTCTAACTAATGTCCTTTTTACGGGTAGTGTCGTTTTCTACTTCATATCATGATCGCTTTTCAAGACAGACTAATGCCCTTTTCATAGTTTTTTATTTTTTTATTTTTATTTTTTTTATCGTTTATGGCGTCTGGTTGTTTTTCGCCTTGTTGATTTTGAGCTCTCCTTTTTTGAGATGATGTTTTTATGTAGTTGCTGACGCCTTCCCTGTAGTGTTTGGTTTAAAGGATATCGTCGTTTGTATGATGTTTTCGGTTAATATTGTGGTTTGTATGATGTTTTATTAAAATTGTCGTTTATCTAATTAATATCACGTGATGATATCATTGTCGTTTGCAGTTGTTGTCGGTTGATATTGCTACGCAGCTTCGCAATCGGCCAATCCTATTCGTTTCCGTTCATGAGTTACTGTCTTGGAGAAGCTTGTTGGTTTCCAATCTTCTTGTCGTTTCTATTTCATGTTGTTTTATGTTTGCAGTCGTTTTATCCAATTATGCCGTTTAGTGTTGTTTTTTAGTCTCTTTGTTTTTCAAATGGTTGTCGTTCATCAGGTCTTTCCATTTTCTTGTTTTCTTAAGTTCATCTTGCTTTTGCAAGTTAATTTTTAAATGCATAGTTACTTTCTTGTCGTTTTTAAACCGTTGTCGGTCTTAAATTCAAACTGTTTTGCAAGTTAATACTTAATATCAAGTTGATACTTAATTCAAACTGTGCATTCTGAGACTAATGTCTTTTTCAGAGTTTATGTAGTTTTTAAGCTTATGTTAGTTTATCTATTATTGTTGCTCGCCGTGTTTTTGTCGTTTTCTAATTTGAATTGTCATTTGAAGTTGTTTTCTTCCTAATTGTTCCTGTTATGTCGTTTCTTGATGTTATTGTCTATTTTATTCTTATTTTGTAAATTGTTGTCGTTTCTTAGGCTATTTGTCCTCATCTGTCATTCATGCCATGTAAAAGACTATTGTCCTTTCAGGGCTTTTGTCTTCAGTTGAGTCATCTTTATCCTTATTGACATTCTTAGTTTGATGTCGCTTTAAGACTATTTATCCATTTCCAGCTTGTTGTCGTTTCCTAATATTATGGTTATTTTTTGAAGGCAGCATCGTTTTCTCTAGCTTTCAACTTCAAGACTTGATCTGATGGCAACGGTCACAGCTTGTGCTGATATTGCAATGGCCGCTAACAGTATGCAAGGCGATGGCCAAGATGTTGCGCCAAAGATATATACAATTAAACTTTCTTAAAACAAAATCCCTCTGATCTTATAATTGATTTAATATGATTTCTTTCTAAATAATGGTCGCGAGGATCAAAGATGGAAATATTTGCCTTTTCAGATTTGTCATTTTCCGTAATTTAGTTCTTTTTGTCGTTTTTGTTGATGTCAGGCAAGCTATTGTTGGTCTTCAATATAGCGTTTTTTTCCCATTATCGTTGTTTTTTCATATTGTGTCGTTTCTTCATATAGAGGCTACTGTCGTTTTTTTATTTTATATTTAAGTGATTTTAAGGATACTGTCGTTTGAGATTTAATGTCGTTTCAAATAAGATGTCGTTCTATGAGGTTATTGTCGTTTGTTTATGGCTGTCGTTTGGAGGCTTGGGTCATCTCTTACTTTAACGAAGCGACATTGCTATTCTTGTGTTCAGATTGTCGCCACTTTTACAGCTGCTGACGTTTTTTAGGCTGTCTCCGTTTCTAGTTGATGTCATTTCAATCACTGTGTTCGTTGTTTTATTGTTGTTTTTACTTTAACTTGATTTTGACAGATTCAAAGATTAGAAACACTCCTCTGCCCAAAAAAGAAGCAAAAAAAAAAAAAAGACCCTTCCTTATTCTTCAAAATCTTAAGACATTGGATTCTTTTGGTTGCCGCTCCATATGGGATGATAAAGGTTTCAACTTTGAAGCCAAAAGTCACAAGTTGAGTGGGCACATTACCGATTACCGAGGGATTTGCTGAGAGGGAAGGGAGTAGCCAATAGGGAGGGGTGAGGTTTATAGGAATGGTGTAGGTAGTAAATCAACAAGGTGTTGCGGGTGCCCATTCCATAAACTATAGAGTGGGCAAAACCATATCAAATTGAACGAGCAACGTGGTCTACGTGTCGTTTTTTTGGATAACGAATACCATATACTTTCTACTTCTTACGTTAACCTATTTGATGTCATTTCAAAGGGTAATATCGGTTCTTTGATTGATCATGTCGTTTTTCACTTTTTTATTTAGAATGAGAAAACCAGAGACATCCACTAATACTACTTGTTAGTAGGGATGGTAATTCGTGTCACGTGTCGTGTTTTGATCGTTTCTTTTTAAATTTACAGTCAATCCTAACACGACCCGTGACACGAAATTTTTTAAAAACCGCAACACAAACACGACACGACCACTTTACGAGTTGACACGACACGACCCAAAAATGACCCGTGACACGAAATTGACCCATGAATCCGAAATTGACACAAAAATTGTATACTTTTATTTAGTTTTTTACATATTAAAAATAACTTAAAATTCATAACACACTAAATTATAATAACATCCATTAAAATTAAGCAAATAATAGTATAAGATTTTGAGTATAACTATCATGATATCACAAGTTCATAATAAAATTTAAAATATGAAATGAAAAATATATGTATTTTTTAGTTTTTTACGAGTTTCGTGTCGTGTTCGGGTTAGGCGGGTCCAACCCAAAATTGACCTGTATTTTTCGTGTCAATTTCAGGTCGATCCAATTCTGACCCGAACCTCTTTTTTCTCAACCCTAACCCGCAAAATTCATGTCATTTTCGAGTCGTGTCGTCGTGTCGTGACTCATATTACCAGCCCTACTTGTTAAGACTATGAGCGTTGAGGTTCCACTTTAAAAGGTTAACCTATCCGTTCACTTCGCTGATTCGAGTTTGTAATTCGAGTTGAGATGTGATTTTATGTGAGAGCTTTTTACTGTAGCAAAAAAGTTAGATGTGATTGTTTGTGAGAGCTTTTTACTGTAGCAAAACTCGAATTCTAAACTCGAATTGGTGAAGTGAACGGGACCTACGTTTTTCACTTTATCCAATCTTTTGAGTTATGGTCGTTTTACAAGTTGTTGTTTTAGTGTATGTTGTTTTTCAGGTTGTTGCCGGTTTAAAATGTCGTTCTAAAGACAATTAATGTTTTTCTAGTTAATAGGACTTTCATATATTGTCATTTTTTATACTTCTATCGAAGTTTCTTTTTTCATTTGGTTTATATGCTGTTGTCGTTTTTTTTTCTCTCTTTTCCTTCAAATCTGTGACGTTTTTCAGGTCATTGTCGTTTTCATACTGTTATAGTCTTTCAGGTTGATATGGTTGGCCGCTTTTGGCTCTTGCCGTTTTCTGTTGATATCATCGTTCTGTGATTGATGTCGTTTTCCTCTTATCCAATTCATGTCTAAGTTTTAGATTATTGTTGTTTTTCTGTTCGATTGTCATTATTATATCACAGTGTCTTTTTTTCTCTATATTCGTCTTCTTTTTAAACCCTTTCTTGAGGTTATATTTCCATTTTCTTATGTTTATTGTCGTTCCTCAATTGCCATCATAATTTAGATATTCTGGTCTTTCAGTCGATAATCTTTATTCTCATTATCATTTTTAGTTTGACGTCGTTTTCTAAAGTTATTGTTGCTTTCGCAACTTTCACTTTCTTCAGCCTATTTAAGCTCAAAAGTACTCGTCTACTTGACCGTCGGTGTAGGGACTGAAAGGTTTTCAACTTCGGAACGCAACACTCACAGCGAAAGTTATATATTATCAAATGGAATGTTGGACAAACCTTTTCTTCCTTTTTCACCCTCAAGTTTTTAGATCAAATTAGGGATTTTATAAAAGACTTAAATTCTTTTTTTTTTTTTTTTTGCTACCTTCAAGATAAATTCTTTCTAATTTTTATTCTCTCTCTATAAAGAATCAACATCTAGAATAAGATTACGAACTTGGCATTTTTGTTTTACAATTAGTTTTTGGAGATTAAAGTTTTTAGCATTGCAAAGCATTATGGTTCTAAGTATATATATAAGTCTTTGGTGAAACGCCGTTCACAACTGAGACCATCAATTAGACCTAGTTTCAAAGCCTTTCTTACAATTAATAATAGAAAGATACGTTTTTCTAAAAGCTGAGCTTGAAGGACCAAAGATGGAGAAATTAAGGCCGTGTTTAGAATTGATCTCGTTTTTATTTTTTATGTTTTTTGAGAAAGAAAAAATAAAAACGTTTTCAAAACAGCGTTTGGCGCAATAAAGATAAAAAAAGAGAAATGAAAACGACTTTTTCGTTTAGTGTAAAATGAAAGATAAATGAAAAATGACTTTTAATCGTTTTTTACTTTTTATTTTTATTTTCTCCTCTCTCGAAAAGAGAGACATTAATAGATTTTTTAATATTAAAAATAATCTCCTGATAAAATTATTAAACCCATTTTTAAAAATAATCTATGTCTAAGAAGAGTCCATGCATGACGATCATGTCTCCTCCACAGCACCAAGCCGCCGCCGGCCATTGTCGGTTGCCGCTGCATTTTATGGTTAATCAAGTTTTTGTTGTCGTGAAAATTTTTTGGACTTGTTGCAGTGAATAGTAAACTGATTGAATAAAACTAATTGACTGCTTATTTGTGTTTTAGAATTGATTTACCGTGCATATGAAACAAGCTGGAGATTAAATTGGAATTTGGGTGAAGCTTCTGTGTAGAAGAACTGAAGCCTCTGTGAAGGTCTGATATCATTAAAAGGAACCCGCCATCTATCTAAATAAAAATAAATAAAAAATAAAAAAACTTTGGACAGATTTTTGAAGCTGGGTAGTTCAACGGCCAAATTAAACAAAACATCTAAATGCTTAATCAACATGCTCAAGCCGACGACATCTTAACCATCTCCTTTAATACTTGTATATCCTATTTCATAATTACATGTTCTCTTTGGAGCATTACTATTTAATAGCAATTACATTACCAATGACAATAAATCATATATATTTTTCGTCTCTTTTATATCGTGTCGACGATCTTCACTTATCTCTATTAGACTTGAAGGCTCGTCTTTAGAAGTCAAGGAACCACTAAATGCCAAAAGAATACAAAAGAACACGGACAGAATTTACCTCGAGTGACGAGGTAATATTTGGAACTTTGTGCAACAATGTTCTTCCGTTTCACTACCAATTACCTACCAACGCCAATCTACTACACCAATGCATATGCATGGGTCATAGAAAACTGGTGTGTCTGCCCATCATTAACTCCCTTTCGTACAAGCCAATTTCAATTTGCTGAATTATGTTACACATATACTAGAACCAAATACGAGTAATGTCTTTATCTACCTATCTCATTCATGAACTGTCAGGAGAACTCCTCCATAATGATCACCAAAAGATGGAACTCTTGACAACGTGAAAAAGGAAAAAAAAAAAAAAAATCAATCCTATATGATGAATATTATCACTAAAATGGTGTCTTTCTCTTCATCTTTACAATGGGTTTGTGTTCATATTTGTCTATGGGACGTGTCGTTTGCCCTAATGGGACTCTTCATTTTCAGCTGTGTTATTCAGAGAATGACCAACAAAGGTCCGATGTTATGGCCTGTAATGGGAATGATACCCACCGTGATGTTCAACATGAAGAATAATTACGAGTGGATTACCGCGGCTTTAATCAGAACCGGAGGGACTTTCCCCTACAGAGGAATGTGGATGGGAGGGGCTTACGGAATCGTGACCGTTGATCCTTCCAAGATCGAGTACATGCTCAAGACAAGAAGCATAAACTTCCCAAAGGGCAGGTACTACAGAGAGAGGTTCCGAGATCTTCTCGGCGACGGGATCTTCAATGCCGACGACGAGTCGTGGCAGAGACAGAGAAGGGTTGCGACTGCAGAGATGCACTCGAGTCGCTTCGTCGCGTACTCGCTTCAGTCCATGCAGGATTTGGTGCAGAAGAAGCTGTTGAAAGTGATAGAAAAGTTGGTGAATTCAGGTGATCATTCGATTGATTTACAAGAAATGCTTCTTCGTTTTACGTTTGATAACATTTGCGCTGCAGCTCTTGGAGTGGATTCGGGGTGTTTAGCGATCGATTTGCCCGAAGTTCCTTTCGCGAAAGCGTTTGAACAAGCGACTGAACTTACTCTGCTCAGATTCCTGACGCCTCCTTTTGTGTGGAAGCCCATGAAGTTGCTTGGTCTTGGATTTGAGAAGAGACTCAAGGAAGCGACAAAGCTCGTTCATTGCTTCGCAGAAAAGATAGTTAAGGAAAGAAGGAATGAACTGATCAAGTGTGGAGACCTAAATCACCGTTATGATCTCTTGTCAAGGCTTATGGTTATGGACAAAAGTGATGAACAAGAAAAGTGTTTCTCAAACAAGTTTTTGAGTGATTTCTGCATAAGTTTCATTTTGGCCGGGCGTGACACGAGCTCGGTTGGATTGGCATGGTTTTTCTGGTTACTCCAAAACAATCCAGATGCCGAAAGGCGAATTCTCTCCGAGATCAACGACATCGTTTCGTCTAGGCGCGAGATCAACGACACAAATGAAACAGTTTTCACAGTGGATGAATTGAAGAAAATGGTGTACTTACAAGCGGCACTATCGGAGGCCCTGAGGCTGTACCCGCCAGTGCCGATCGACATCAAGGAGGTCGTAAACGACGACGTGTTTCCCGACGGCACCGATGTAAAGAAAGGAGCTAGGGTTTTGTACTGCATCTTCTCAATGGCTCGGATGGAGTCGATATGGGGGAAAGATTGCTTGGATTTCAAGCCAGAGAGGTGGATCCAAAACGGGCAGTTTGTTGCGGAGAACCAGTTCAAGTACGCCGTTTTTAACGGAGGCCCGAGGCTGTGCCTCGGAAAGTCGTTCGCTTACAAGCAGATGAAAATGGTGGCCGCTTCGATATTGATGAGGTATGAGGTTAAGGTTGTGGAAGGTCAGAGAATTGTGCCAAAAGTCACAACCACGCTTTACATGAAGAATGGTTTGTTGGTCAGTTTCAAACCTAGGTTGGTGAATTGTGGTACCACAACACAGTGATCGGTAGAATTTATACAAACATGTTTGAGTTTATAATAATCAGATTCAAAGCTCAAATTGTCTCTCCGAGGAAGATTTCTGCTGAATCAGGACCATGTTGAATCCTTGTTTTGGTGCAGAATATTTCCGGTATTAACTATATTAAAAGTTTAATATGCTCAAGATCAAAGTCTTTGTGCGTGTGGCTGGAATTTTGTACCTTTCTATCTTTTTGCATTGAATATGCAGTGTGTGTGTACGTACGTTGTTATTGATCAGTAATATTGTCTTGTGCCATGTTTGGTTAATTGATTGAGCTTCCCACAAAAATATAAAAAAAAAAAAAAAATGATGTGATTGAGCTTCCCCTAGTAGTAATTTAAATATTCACTTGGTTTGGTAAATTTCTAGATTCGTTTTGCCCGTAATATGTTACTCTGGTACATATATGGATATGACTACGTACTTTGAAGAGACACATGGTTCATACGAACTAGAAAGTGTGTAGAGTCGATCAACCTGGAACAGTAACATGTCCTTATATTATGTATGTGTGTATTTATAGGGCTCGGCACTAAGAGTCTTGTAAGTGAATGTATAAAATTCTAGTTAAACTTAATTAGGAGTGGTAACTATAAGTGTAACTATAATAGCTTAGGACTATATAACTTGTAGTCTAGTAGCATTGGACTTAAATGATTTGGTAGATGCGAGTCTCAAGTTATCTTAAAAAAAAATTTTAAATTAACGTAAGCGCCTATGGCTTAATGTGGATATTTCTTAACGTATAGAAATTTCCTCTGCTCAGGTTCTAGGGGTAGCTTGCCACACTATTATTCACCCCAAGAAACTATAATAACTTAGGAATAGTAATTTGCTTCATAGAAAAAAAAAAAAAAAAAAAAAAAAAAAAAAAAAAAAATAATTTAGGATTGATAATCATATTTAACTAAAGATATTGCTAAGTAAACAATTGATTTGTTGTCCTTTTTGCCCCTAAATTGACTTTTATTGTCCTACTTAATTTTGTCGTTTTTGCCGTGTAACATATCGAACCCGTTTGTCCAAATCATATAACCCAGTTTCAGACCAAAAAAAAAAAACAAAATCATATAACCCAGTTTGTCCAAACCATATCATCCTGAATATACGTAGCAATATATAAACTGTATTCTTAATATATATATATATATATATATGTGACGTGATTAAATTTTTATATTTTATGATAACCACTTATAAAAACCGTCCATATATGTCTACGTATAGATGCGCATATATAAATAGCTTGTCTGTTTGTGTTCTTTGAGTATTATTATGGAACTAGATAGAAATAGAATTGACCGGGCCTAGCTGAGTAAGATGCAGGTGGGAAAAGTAGGCAGCTGCTAGGGCAATAGGCCGTGAACGTGAACAGCATTAATTGCCCTAATTCTACTGCCAATTAAAGGATACAACTTGCATATATTGATCTCAATGATATTCACATTGTTGTATCATGGCATAGAATTTAATGCTGGGCTGAGTAGTGAGGGCCAATTCGCTGGTGATATCGACCTAATAATAATGTCGGTTGAAACTTGAAAGACCAACTTCTATTGCTGAAAAGGAAAATGCAGATCTCATTGATCGAAACAAGCAAGTGTCTAGTAACACCTGAAAGGAAAGAGGAAAATACTGCAATATTTTAAATAATATATTGGAGACAAAACTTTAGTCAGAATAATTATAGTAATAATAACAATAATGGAACTATAAGTGAAATTTCGGTTTATGTCCTTTTAAGGTTGTTGTAGTAATTATAGTAATCTTTTTGAAAAGTCAAGGGTGTTGACGTGATTAGTTTTGATTAAGTAGGTGTCTCTATTATTTTGACAAAATACAAGGATTGAGTGTATATAATCCTTTTTTTTTTTTTAGTCTAGTTTTGTTTCTATATAGAGATTAAATCATTTTGGTACCTTCTATTATAGTAAAATATCTAACTAGTATCATGTGTTTTAAGTAATATTAAAACGATGCATTTACCTTTAAAAAAACATTTTTTCAATACCCTTAAATAGATTTTTAGGGCATGCAATATCAAAGCTACCATTTTCATTAATAAAATAGAATCTAATAACTTTAAAAATATTTTTTTGCAAAACATTTTAACTTATTTTAATTTTTAAAATAACATTTTAACTTTAAAAATGTTTTTAAATTTTTATATTAATTTGTTGTTAATTAGTGTAAATAGTACATTAGACATCAGGGTATTACAATAATATATTTTTAAATAAAGGCACTATTTTAATATGATTAAAAACATATGGTACTAACTATGGTCCCGTTCATTTTACCGATTCGAGTTTTGTTAAAGTAAAAAACTCTCAAAAACAGTCATATTTAATTTTTTTTTTACTACAGTAAAAAATTTTCACATAAAATCACATCTCAACTCAAATTAAAAACTCAAATCAGCGAACTAAACGAGCCCGTCATGTTTTACTATAAGAAAGGGTACCAAAATGATTTTATCCCTTCTATTTATTGTCCTTTCTCGTTGATCTCCTTTTCATAGCCGCTGTCTTTTTTGAATTTGATGTCAATATTGCTGATATACTTTTTGAAAATATTTTCGTCCTTCAATTTGATGTCATTTAACGAGGACATCATCGTTTTTCAAGTAATGTCGTTCCTATATGTTATTTTCGTCGAATGTTGCTGCTGATCTTCAATATGTTGTTTTCACAATTGGTGTCGTTTGGTGGTTACTGTAGTTTTATGTTGATATTGTTTCTAAAATTTAGGGTATGTTTGGTATATGAGTTTTTCATGGGTTCAAACTCACTGTTTTGATTCTGTTATAATATTTTTTTTCTTAAAAAAAATTTGAATTTAAAAAATTATAATCAAAACCACTAATTTAAACCTTAGTTTGAACTCATATATCAAACGACGCTTAATGTTCGCTTTCACGTTGTTTTTGGTGCAAATTATCGTTTTCCCAGTTTATGTCGTTTATTGAGGTTATTCTCTTCTTCGGTTGTTGTATGGTTTTCTTAGGATTCAGGATGTCGTTTTTCCACCTATTGGTCCGTTTCCTTTATTTATTTATTTATTTTGAAGGATTGCCTTTTTCAGTTTTGCTGACGTCTTGAATGTATTGTCGTTTGTTGGACTGTTTTCATTTTTAATGTTAATTTTTTTTTTGTTTTTTTACTGATTTTATGGTTTTCTATACGGCTATTTCGTTTTTCATGGCTATTGTCGTTTATTGAGGTTATCCTTTTTTCCCGTTTATGTTCTTGTAAGTTATTGTCGTTTATATTTGTTAACGTCGTTTGCATAGGTTGACGTAGTTTTATTGTCGTTTCTTAGTGGTTGTCGTTTTTACAATTCACTTCTCATGGAGATTGTTGTCGTTTTGAATTGCTGTCATTGCTCAAGTTTATGATTGGCCTTTACGTAATTCTATTTATCGCAACTGTCGTTTTTCCCTGCTATATAATTTTATGCGAGTACTAGGATGTTCTTTAATTATTCTAGTTTTCAATTTTTATGTCTTTTTTTTTTTTGGATATTGTGCCTTTGCAGATTGTAGTCGTTTTACGGTTTATGTCGTTTGGTGTTTTCGCAGTTCTGGTTCCTCTCTCTCTCTGAAGGGGGGAAAAAAGGGTATTTGTAGTGATTGAAACCAATTATTATTTACGCCTTGATATCCATCATTTGCATATTATCAAGTAGAGTATATGATGTAGTTGTCTTTTTGATTGTTGCGTGTATTATTGAAATTCAGTAAATGAGTATGTTTGTGCAATTGACTGAACGTTACACAACAATGAACTGTTTTACTCGAGAAGCTCAAGAGCCAAACAATACATCTTTTGCTTTACAAAACATATAGAAAGAGGTAAACCTTCCTAGTTCCTTCTAATTTTATCTCACACACTTTTCTTTAGCTAAATAGCATATAAAATTGCTTTTTCTTGTATATCTTTTTGGATTATTTGTACCTGTATATCAAAGAACTTCGTGTTTTTTTCTTTTTTGGTCTCCAGGCTTTTTTAGTTCCGAATCCCCTGTCTAGTTGCTTCGTTTGCTGCTTTATCTCATGCCGTGGTCAAAGACTTCCATTCGAAATCTTTACCGGGCAATTCCCAATTCCAAGACCGATTTGATCTTAGTGGAAGAATCCAACCTTGGTCTTCTCGTGGTGTCAACAAGCTGGAACCATTGGCTTCCCGGGTCACAGGAACTATCTCTGCTTAAGCATTTACACAAGTTCGTTACAACAACATTGTTCGAATCAACGTCTAGGCAAACAGTAGTGCCGCTGCTGGTCTTGGCTGCGAGGTGCAGCTTAGAATCTGAGATGATTTCCCATTTTGAATCAGACTCCATGCAAATTATGCCAAGCCGAGCTGGCTTCCCAACATCATCTACTTGTAAACAGAAATATGTCCCTTTGATTTCCAATATCTTCTGGGGTGTATAGTACCAGCCATCAGACTTGGAGCAAGGACCTAATGTCAATGCATCAGTGAATGATTTTCGTACGACACAGAGACCTGTCGACGGGTGGAAGATGATTTTGTGCTTCCTGGTTTCTGCTAAACCAGGCCCTGCAAAATTTTCCACGCATTAGTTTTGTTACAAAAAGGATGAAAAAAAAATTATAAGACTATTGTTGGCCCATCACATAAAAACTTAAGTTTCTAAGAGAATTTGGTTCATTGATATAGTATTGAGTAGGAGGTCTTAGATCAAACTCCTTCAAGTGCACTATCCAATGTTGTCAAGTTATTGGTCATTTAATACGTTTTGGGCTTATAAGTAAAAGTTAAGGAAAAACCCACAAATACCACTTAAGATGATAAAAAAATATTATTTATTATACTCCACTAAAAACTAAACAGTTGTTCTCTAACTAATAAAGAGAAAACAAAAGTCATGATGGCTCCCAATTATTTAGAATGGAATAAATAATAGGCTTGCACAAAAGCGTTAGAATATAAGAGTATTGTTGTTGGCTCATCTTCTAAAAGCTTAAGCGTTTGGATAATTGGTAAACTAACAGTGTGTTTACATGAGTCAATTTACATACCTTGAAAAGGGTATTGTATGGCAGAGATCTTCTGTAAGACACTTGCATTTCTTATCTCATTCCAGTCCCAGTTCAAGACTCCATAATACTCATTCATCCCCACAACCCCTTGCCTAAAGTAATAGCTTCCAACCAGTGTCCAAAGAGCCCAATCCAAATCAAGCTCAGCTGCTACAGCTAAGAAGCAATTTAAGTACCTGTTGTCATTCACATTGGTGCCTCTTTGGTCCACACCAAACTCACTCACAAACAATGGCCATCCCTTGTCCAACAAGAATCCTGCTTTTCTTTTCACGTTGTTGGCCACCATGCTGCACACTTGGTTCGGGTTGCCACTCACCCATGCGCTCCCGTCAGAGAACCCATACCAGTGGAGCTCAAAGACCAATTTCCCCGAAAATGTGAGGTCCACTGCCCGATTGCTCAGGAATGACAAGTCTGTGTCGTATGAAAGACCAGAGAGAATAACAAGAACATCTGGATTTGCCGAGTGGACTGCCTCAGCTCCTCTTTGCATGTACCTATGCGACATGATCAAAACAAAATTGTTCGGGACACAAAAGAAAAATGCCAAGTGGTGATCTTGAATTATGGTGTACTACTAAGTGGTGATGTATCACCAGTAGTGATACATAGCGTGAAAATAGGTAATACGTACTTGAACCAATCGTTTACGTTCTGCTTAGGGCCTCGGAGCTCGTTCCTCAAGCTCATGCCAATGACATTCTGCACGCCCTTGAACAATGTGGCCATGTGAGTAAGGCCTTTAATCCAGAGGTCTGGATCGAAGTACTGGTCGCCAAAGAAACCATTGCCATCAAAGTTGCTGCAACACCAACCGGGCTTGGTCACATGGTTATCCAGGACTACCATCACATTTTTGCTGCCAAGGCTACTCACCACAGCCTGAAATTGATAATTGATAATCAACAAAAATGAAAAAACAAAAAAAAAAATTTACTTTGACCGATGAAATTTGAAGTTGTTTGGTGACTGTGGTTCGTCCCTGTGTATTTGCAATGTTCTAACTTCTAATATTGCAAGTATGGGTGGCAATTCGTGTTAGTAGGTCGTGTTCATGTCAAGCTGTTTATTAATCGTGTCATAAAATATCAACCCAAACACGATCTATTTATTAAACGTGTCAAAAATGTCAACCCAAACACAACCCATTTATTAATCGTGTTAATCGTGTCAATCTGTATAATCCGTTTAAATTAATATATTGAATAAATAATTAATATAATAATGACTTATTTAACACGGTCAATATAAGTTTAACATGTTTAATGGCCGATTTATCTTTTCCTTTAAGAAAAATAAATGAATTTTACCTACAAATATTAAAATTCACATTATTTGTATTTAATATGTTATATAAACTTTCATATTATATCACGTATCATTAGATTGCAGATGACACAGATAATTAATCGTGTCATTTCGTGTTAGGAGGTCAACCCTAACCCAACCTATTTATTAATCGTGTTAATCGTGTTAACCCGAGTATGATCCAAACCCATTTATAATAAACCTAAACCTGCTAACTTCGTGCAGGTTTCAAATCGTGTCATTCTGTCACTTCCTGGTTTGTCAGCTCTAATTGCAAGGAAGAAATCCAATTGGTTAGGAAAACTATTTGATATTTAATATTACTTATTTATTACACGATAAGGAGGGCATAGAGTGTGTGATATAGCCGAGGCATTCCAATAATATGGTTGTAAGTTCCAAGTTGCAACTTGTCAGTAGTAGAGCTATTTTTAGTATTGAAGCCAAACACAAAAATAAGAAGATAATTAGAATAGCTTATGATTAAGTGGGAGTCTAACTATAGTTTTTTATTTATGGAGATACATCTATAATTTTTTTAATTATTAAGCATAAGCATAAACTATAATATTACAGTATAATTGGCCTTATAGTATTATTTGTATTTTTAAGATAGTACTATTCATAAGATTTTTTTTTTTAACAAAAAATTCCTTAAGTCTCTTTCAAAAAAAAAAAAAAATTCCTTAAAGTGTCTTCTTTCTTTGGCTGAGAGGAAGATTTTGAACTCCAAATCCCAACATTAAAGATAAGGATTTAGATTTTACAACTTTGCCTACAACCACGTTATCCATAGAAGTCTTGGTCCTCATCTTAATTGACAAAAGCTGGAATAAACTATTTGCAAACGAATTATTCAACATATTTGAAATATTTTTCCTTATGGCTAAACAAACTCCACACCTTAAAATAAATAAAAATAAAAAAATAGAAAATAAAAAGTTAAGACGTATGCTTTCCCAACCACAACCAACCAAATGTCACAACACAAAACCAGACTTTCCCTTTTTTTTTTCTTCTTTTTTTCTTTTCCTCCTTATTCATTTATGATCCGTTTGGTTCGTGGATTCCAATCAGCGATTTTAATTCTAAATTCAAATAAATTCAAATTTTATGAAAAAACTTACTATAGAAAGCAAAATCAGAGAATCATTGGATTCAAGTAAGTGAACAAAGCGACACTTATGTTTTTATGAAAGTTTTACCTGGTAAGCTTGGATGAGAGAGAGATCGACGATGGAGGGGTTATAGGTCTGGAGGCCGGCGATGGATTCTTCGAGGCCGAGCCTCTGGAAGGAGTCTCGGACGGTGAGGGAGGCCAGGGAGTCATTGGTGGCCAAGTAGATCGGCCACGTGAGGCGTACGCAGTTGAAACCGAGCGCCGAGATTTGGGCGGCGATGACGTCGAGTGGCTGCTTGCTTAGGCCCTCGGCCACCACCGGCTCCAGATGCGACACCCAGTTCACGCACGCCAGCTTCACTCTCCGCCCGCCCTCGTCCACTATCCACCGCGAGTTGGTGTAGAGTGGCTCGGCACTACCAGTACTCGTTTGTGTGATGATTGTGAAGAGGCTGATGAATATTAGAAGAACTGAGATCGGGAACAGAAAGGAAAAGGAAGTTGTTTTAGTTCCCATTTTTTTGAGGATATGATATGATGATATCATTCTTGAAGTTTTTCTGTCGTTCCGAGTTCTGCTGACTATGGCTTTCTTTGTTTATATATATAGTGCTGTGTGTTAGAATTATTTGCCTTGTTTTTCTCTGTTTAATGGCCTTTGGTCCCACTATTAGTCTCTTTTAAGGAAGAAAAAAAAAAAAAGGAAATATCCAAAATGCATTATTGAATTCTTAATACTTTTAAAGTTTGAAAAGTGCACCCTTCATTTCAATTATTACATACACATCACTATTTTTTTTTTTTACATAAACCACTTTTTTTTACCTCATTCACTTCGCGAATTTAAATTTTTAATTTGAATTGAGATGTGACATTTTTTTAGAGTTTTTTACTGTAGTAAAAAAAATTAAATATGACATTTTTTAAAAAATTTTTACTATAGAAATTTAAAACTAAAAACTCGAATCGGTAAAATGAACAATACCTTAATTTGTGACACACGCTAGTTTTTGTAGTGTTTTTGTTTTTATCCCCCTTTCTCCTATACTTTAAGCTCTCAAAAAATGGTGCAGTCACCTAAATTAATCAATCACAATTCACGACTGATAGAGCCTAAAATCTGCAAACCTCCCACTAGAAAAAAATTACTTTACGCTAGGATGAAAACCCATTTTGGTGCATGTGGCGGCGTGTAGTAAGTAAACAATGCATATTTCCCATCAAAGGTTAAAAAGGTCGGCTTTTCGGCGGTCGTTTCTGTTCCTTAAAAGAAAAGGGGAAGCAAAAAAAAAAGGGGAAAGCAAAGAAGAAACATTTTTGTAATTGATATAAAGACTAAGTACATGCGTTTATGGTCCATTGCTGTTGGAAACACGCTAAGTAACACTCACACACAATGTGGTCACCATGCAATCTAAATGGCAAGATCTCATGTCTCCGCTATTTCAATTCCTTTTCTTCCTTTAAGACGAAGAGATGTCTTGGACTCCTGGTTTGGACTTTTGGGGTCTTTGGAAGACTTGCAAGGCAGTGCAACATAAATTTTTGCCTATTGCCGTTGTTTATATTTGTCATTATCTTTTTAATAGCCTTGCAATTTTTAGGGGTGAAAGAATTGGGCCGCTCTATATTACGCTCGGTTTGGTAGAAGAAGCAAAAAAGGAGGGAAAAAAACAAAAATAAGAAAAAAAAAAGGATTATTTTATAAATGACCCTCAAAATATAATCGAAATTTCAATTTGACACTAACTTGTTCTTTTATAGTTTTTGAGTTAAGGTAACTTGAGTGTAGATCTTGAATTGAGTTTGAGTTATAACTTGAGTTTAAGTTGTAACTTGAGTTTGTATTTGGTTGTGTATATTTGAGTTATGATTTGAAATGATAAACTTTTTGAGTTTGTATTTGTTTCTACTAAGACTTGCGTTGTGAATAGTATATAAAGTTTTTTACTTTTTTTTACTTAATTGATTTTATGCAATTAAATATGAATAATTAGAATTAAATATAAATAATTATGAAGAATGGGTAAACTGGCGATTAAAAATATATATAAATAAAAGTGAATCATCTATAAGTAGCAATAAGTTTCAAAATACCAAACATAAAAATACAGTTGCATTCTGAAGTAGGAACTCTGGGTCTAAAGTTTGTTTCAACTGACCCGCTTTTTGTTTAACTTTATCCCAACTAACTGGGACGCTAAAATGGTTACTTAACCCGGTCACCCATTGCATGTATTTGTCTCGATTTAGTGCGGTACCGGCCGAGCTTAACAAATTGAATTCACTAAGAAGCCTAAGCAATTGTTCCTCAAATTCTGGACTCCAATTAGCATCTTTATCTCTCATTCTTGTCATCTAAGTATTGACAAATCTAATGTAGCAGCAATACGTATATACATAGAAAATAAAATTCAAGTAAGATGTGACTTTCCCAAATTCAAGTTAAAACTCAAGTTCAAACTTAAGACTCCGTTTATTTTACCAATTCGAGTTTAGAATTCGAATTTTGTTACAGTAAAAAGCTCTCTGAAATAGCCACATTTAACTTTTTTATTACAGTAAAAATCTCTCATATAAAATCACATATCAACTTGAATTAAAAATTCTAATCAATAAACTAAACAGTTTTACAAACGAACATGAAATTAAATAAAATTATAACTTAAATTTAAATTTTTTTAAAATTTTATTATAAAAGAACAAGGCCTTAATCTAAATCTTTAAAAAAGTGAACGGATAAAGCAGTAAGTTTAAGCTGATTAAAGGGTTAGTCTGAAGCTCATCACTGTTAGCTTGATCCTAGCCTGCTTAAAGGGTTGTTTGGTTGGGGGATTCATACCCCGATTGGAATCATGATTTATGGTTCGCTACAGTGTTTTCTCTCACAAAAAAATACACGTAAATTAAAAATTATTCTAATCTTATAATTTTAATCCATGAACCAAACATCTCTTAAATGTTCTGTCCAGATCAATACGAGCCAGCTGATGACACGTCGCTATGCCCCTAAGGACTAAAGCTAAAGATTTCCCATCAAAGATGAAATGTTTAGACATTTTCCCGCACATAAATGTGGGCCCTTTGTATAAATAGACTAAGTAAAAAGTGTTTTTAAGTAAATAAACCACAAAAAAAAAAAATTGAGTAAATAGGCCAACTTTCACATAAGCTATTCCACGTCATCAATAACCGACCGACCAGACCAAGAACAGACCAAGTACCGACCGACCAGACCAATAACCGACCGAACAGACCAATAACAGACTAAGAACAGACCAAGAACCGACCACCAGAACAATAACAGACCAATAACAAATTCTAATAAAACATTAAAAACATACATTTTTACATATTTTTTAATTTTTTGGGTATTAATAACCATTGTAATGTATAAAAGAGAAAAAAAATATTGGTAAAAAGAGAAAAAACCAATAACAGACCAAGATGTTCTTAGTTTTTTCATTTTTTACCAATTTTTTTTCTCTTTAATAAATTAAATATCTCTTCAATCTTCGAGACTAGTTCGAAGCTTTCAAAAAAAAAAAAAACAACATCATTGTCTATTCTTGGTCAAGTGTTGTCGGTTATTGGTCTGTTCTTAGTTTTTTAATATTTTCCCAATTTTTTTCTCTTTTATAAATTAAATGTCTCTCCAATCTTCAGACTAGTTCGAAGCTTTCCAAAAAAAAAAATATCACTGTCTATTCTTGGTCAAGTGTTGTCAGTTTTTTGTATGTTCTTGGTCTGTTCTTGATTTTTTTCTTTTTTTACCAAATTTTTTTTCTCTTTTATAAATTAAATGTCTCTAAAATCTTCGAGATTAGTTCGAAGCTTTCCAAAAAAAAATATCATTGTCTATTCTTGGTCAAGTGTTATCGGTTCTTGGTCTGTTCTTGGTCTATTCTTAGTCTGTTCTTAGTTTTTTAATATTTTACCGATTTTTTTCTCTTTTATAAATTAAATGTCTCTCCAATCTTCGGGACTAGTTCGAAGCTTTCCAAAAAAAAAAAACATCACTGTTTATTCTTAGTCAAGTGTTGTCGGTTATTGATTTGTTCTTGGTTTTTTCTTTTTTTACCAATTTTTTTTCTCTTTTATAAATTAAATGTCTCTCCAATCTTCGGGACTAGTTCGAAGTTTTCCCAAAAAAAATATCACTCTCTATTCTTGGTCAAGTGTTGTCGGTTCTTGATCTGTTCTTGATTTTTTCTTTTTTTACCAAATTTTTTTTCTCTTTTATAAATTAAATGTCTCTAAAATCTTCGAGACTAGTTCGAAGCTTTCTAAAAAAAAAAAACATCATTGTTTATTCTTGGTCAAGTGTTGTCGGTTCTTGGTCTGTTCTATGTTCTTAGTCTATTCTTGATTTTTTAATATTTTACCAATTTTTTTTATCTTTTATAAATTAAATGTCTCTCTAATCTTCAGGACTAGTTCGAAGCTTTCTAAAAAAAAAAAAAACATCAATGTCTATTATTGATCAAGTATTGTCGATTTTTGGTTTGTTCTTGGTTTTTTCTTTTTTTATGAAATTTTTTTTCTCTTTTATAAATTAAATGTCTCTCCAATCTTCGGGACTAGTTTGAAGCTTTCAAAAAAAAAAAAACATCACTATCTATTCTTGGTTAAGTGTTGTCGGTTCTTGGTTTGTTCTTGATTTTTTCTTTTTTTACCAAATTTTTTTTCTCTTTTATAAATTAAATGTCTCTAAAATCTTCGAGACTAGGTCGAAGCTTTCCAAAAAAAAAAAACATCATTGTCTATTATTGGTTAAGTGTTGTCGGTTCTTAGTCTGTTCTTGATTTTTTCTTTTTTTACCAATTTTTTTTCTCTTTTATAAATTAAATGTCTCTCCAATCTTCGACACTAGTTCGAAGCTTTCAAAAAAAAAAAAAAACATCATTGTCTATTCTTGATCAAGTGTTGTCGTTTTGGTCTGTTCTTTATTTTTTCTTTTTTTACCAAATTTTTTTCTCTTTTATAAATTATAATGGTTATTCGTACCCAAAAAATCAAAATATATGTAAAAATGTATGTTTTTAATGTTTTATTAGAGTTTGTTATTGGTCTGTTCTTGGTCTGGTCGGTCGGTTCTTGGTCTGTTCTTGGTTTGGTGGTCGGTTCTTAGTTTGTTCTTGGTCGGGTGGTTTATTCTTGGTCTGTTCTTAGTCTGGTGGTCAGTTCTTGGTATGTTCTTGGTCTGGTGGTCGGTTCTTGGTCTGTTCTTAGTCTGGTGGTCGGTTCTTGGTCTGGTGGTCGGTTCTTGGTCTGTCGGCGTTGGGGTGGAAATGGTCGGTCGGCGTTGGGGTTGGTCGGTCGGTGTTCGAGAGGGTTGGGTCAGAGTTTTGGAGGGTCGGTCGGTCGGTGTTCGTGAGGATCGGTCGGCGTTTGGGGAAGGTCGGTCAGCGTTGGGGTGGTCGGTGAGAACCAAAGGAGAGAGAGAGAGGAAAGAGGGTCTAGGCAAGGAAGGAATGTAAGGAAAAAAAAAAAAAAGGGGTCAATCGGGGTGAGGGTCTGTTCAGTTTTGAGAGAGAAACAATTAAAATGTACACATAAATTAAAATGTGGTCCATTTTTTAACACATAAGATACACGTCAATAGTCTTTTATTATGAAAAAAAAAATGGTCTAGATCCCTGATTTCTATTTTCTTCTTGTCTCTTTCATCAAAATTTCTCCATAAATGTTTACACATTTTAGAGTTCAGTAATTTAGAGGAAATGTTTAGACATTTTCCCGCACATAAATGGCTTTCGGTATTATTTCCCATCAAAGATTTTTTTTTTTTTTTTCAAAACAAAGAAAAGGTATTTCTTTTCTTTTCTTTTTTTTTTTTTTTTTTTTTTTTTTTAAAGTATTCTCCAAACGACCAAGGGATGTTACGTCAAAATACCAGAAGGATAAATTATTCTAAACTTTTCATACTATGCGCTGAATCGGCGATTTCGCATGTCGTGTGCAGAACAACGACAGCAGTGACAGAGAACGACGAAGACGCAAGAACCACAGAAGCAGAAAAGGTTTGAGCTTTTCAAAGTTTCTGTTTAGGGTTTAGAAGACGTACTGTACGTACATTGTTCTAAAACCAAGCAAAAATTCAGAACCCGAAGCTTCAAAATCGAAGCTTTTCGGCAATGTAAGTAGTAATTCTTCAGAAATCTTCTAATTCATATATTCATTTGTTCGCTTAAACTTTTGTGCTCAATTGAAATTTACCGAAAACCACGTTAATTAAGTTTATTAAGTGTGATTAATTTGTGTTTAGGGGAGCTGTTAAATTGGAACTTCGTTGTCCCCAAATCAGTGATGGAATTGCAGCTGATCCCGACCCAGATTGGAGCTCTGATGCTCTTTTGTCGGAGCTCGATGCCTTGGAATCCAAGCTTAGTGCGTCTTCCAAAGTTCCAGTGCCGTTTACTAAATCCCAATCACGGTAATTGTATGTTTGATTTTGTCAAATTTTAGGGGTTCCCCCCCCCCCCTTATTCTGAGCTTTTCCCATGGCGGGATTTGTTATGTATACAGGGGTTTTGTTAATGGGAAGGGCTCGAAGAGAAGTTCTAGGCCTTTTGTTATGCGTATTTTCGAGGATGAGGTGGGCGAGATTGAGAGCGAAGATGAGGAGATTCATGATCAATATTCTGCTGGGGTTAAGCGGTTTACTTGTGATGAACTTTACCTCAGGTATTCTTGTTTGAGATGAAACCTTTGTGTTGCTTGATATTGGCAAAGATATTAATGGTGTTTCTACAATCCTTTATCATTGCATTGCATTGCATTGCTTGTTGGAAACTCTGGTTGCTGTAGATGTTTTGTGGTATGGTGTTTGATTTTGGTGTATGTCTTTAGTGATGAGGATGAGTCTGAGGATGAGTCTGCTCTTGAAGTTCAACCTTACTTGATGGAGGAATTGGGAATAGTGGAAGGAGCTCTGTTTGAGCTAACATTAGAACATCACCTGGGAGTCAAGGTGTGTATGGCTTATATATGGTGGTGGTGTTTTCCGCTTTTTATAGAGTTGATGTATCACACTATCATAGTACTGAGAAATTTGGAGCATACAAATAGTAGCATCATGAAAACTTAAGATATGTTAGTGTTAAAGTATAAAACTATTGTTGGCCCACTTCCCAATAGCTTAAGTTTTTGGGATGGATTGGTAAACTAACATGGCATCAGAGAGGGAGTTCCTGAGTTCAAACCCCCGTAATTGCACTCTTTATCCTCATTTAAATTGTCATCATGTGTTGGGTATTTAATATATCTCGGGTTTAAATATTCACATGTTGGGCTTTCTAATTAATTTATCCATACGATTGCTTATTGTCCAGCCCACACGTGAGGGGGAGTGTTAAAGTATAAAATTATTGTTGGCTCACCTCCTAATAGCTTAAGCTTTTGGGATGGATTGGTAAACTAACAGTTAAACTTCTATTAATGTGAGGTTATTGACCGTACTGAAGCCTCCGCAATTCCATGCGCGTGTCTGTGAATATTTGCCTTTTGGTTTACCATGAAAAACATGTCAATTGGCTTCATACGCAGGAGGAAATTAGGAATAAAATTTCTGCACTGGAAACAGATATGATGAGTGGAAATAAAAAGTCTGCTTCTGCACTTCTTTGGGTTGAGAAGTATAGAGAAGCAAGGCGGGAAACGGATAGAAAACTCGATACTCAGTATCAGCGGAAAATGTAAGATTGTGTGTTGCTCTTATTCCATTTCTTTACAATATTGTGTCAGAGATAGGTGTGCTAAACAATTTCTGTTATCTTTCTGGATCCTTCATGTTTTTTGTATCTACCTTTTACTGGTGAAACCAATTTTTATTGCAATCATTTTTTGAATTTTCTGCTTTACAATTTTTGTGCAATCACCTGTAGAGCAGAAGCACTTGATAATCACTTGACTGCTATCCAACGGGATCATGAACTCAAATCCCAGATAGAAGAAAGGAAAATAAGAAGCGACGCAGCTATTATTGAAGGGGCAAAAAGAAAAGAAAAGGCTCTTCAAGAAGAAAAACTTCGTCAAGAAAAAGCAAAGGCTGAAGCTGAGGTTTGTTTTCTTGAGCTTCCAGATGTTCGCAAGACACTGTTCCTATTACACTTAAAAGTAGATCTGTTTTACGTATTTTAAAGGCATTTTGTATATTACCTTGGCTTGTGAAGATCTGGTCATCCATTAACCTTTTCTCTCTTTTGTTTCTTGTTGGGAATTGTATTTGTGTTTCAACCAAAACTCCGAACAAGAACTTTCATTAGGTCTCCTTATTGAATTGTGTTCTTTTGATACTTTAATTCAAAATCATATGCTGCTGCTAAAAAAATCATTTGTCCTGCTGATACTATATCATTTTCTGTTAGAAATAAAAGTATTTTCTCATGCAGGCAAAACTCAGAGCTGAAGAAGCGAAAAGAGCTGCTTTGGAAGCTCAGATGAGAGCAGAAAAGGAAGCTGCAGAAAGGGAAGCAATTGAAGCCTCAAAGAGGGATGCAGCTAAAGTGGTTCAGAAGGAAGCTTCAGGTAACCAGACGAACGCCAGTTTGGGATCTCTAAATGCTGAGACAACAGAGTCTGAATTTGACAAAAAGAAATCAGCATCAGCAGGTACTGTTGCTCTCAAAGTGAAAGAAGCAACTTTCATCGATCTATAATAGCAGTCTATTCTTGTTCCCTTACTTTTTTTCTTCTGAAAACGATGATGCTTGATATACTTTAACCATGAAGACTTGCTAGATTTGTGCAACATTTCTATTGTCAGACACTCTGCCACCATTTTCTTTTCCTCGTTCCTTAGTTCAATCCTGTTCTCCAGTCATTTCTTGCTAGATTTTTGCTGTTATCTGATGCAAAAGGGGACAATAATGGCAGGTAACATAACAAAAGCTGCAGAAGCTGCTCTAAAGTTGGAGCAAGACAGATTGAAGAAGTTGACAGAATTAGATGAAGGAAACAAGGCATTAGGATTGAATTTGAATAAGGTTTGTGTTTTCTTAGCCTTTTTTTTTTTTTTTTTTTTTTGTCTGCAACTCTCTAAAATGTGACGTTAATTATTTTTTTTAAGTACATTTGCTTCTTGGTTAAGTTCTTTTTTCTTTTTTTCTTTTTTTAACAAATAAATGGCTTATATGGGTACTTACTAAATTCAAATTCTGTTGGCATGGTAATTATCTCTAAATCTGGATGTGTCTGTCATTCTGGATATTATTGTGCTGCATCTTCGTTATAATAGTTGAAGATCTGCTGGTATTCCTTAATGTTCATTTAAAGTTCTATATGTTACAAGCTTCTAACATCGTCCCATTTCGTTTTAGGAATATATCCGTCATGAAAGGAACATTTCTAAGTTAATACGACAGATTACTGGGACTAGGGATGTTGTCAGGTGAGATTGGATGACCGTCTAGCTTATATAACTTTACTTTCCAAGTTCCAATTAGTTACCGAACTCAGGAACTCTGTTTCCTTTACTATTTCTTCTGTAGCTGCGTCTTACCTGTGATATCATCTTAATAAGTTGAACCACTTTTCAGTTCTTTTTTGGTTGGGAAAACAATTTTTTGAAGCAAAACAAAATTATCACAATATCATTTGAGTTTGCTGCTATTTTTATTTCCCCCTATATTTGGGTCTAAATATAAACCGTTTGAAATTCAGCTTTGGTAAATAACTACTATGATTTGCAGACAAAAAGCAGCAGAACTTGTCAAGATTCTTAAGAATCCCCTTTTTCCTCAATCTGCCAGCACTGCAGCCTTTGCTAGAAAGGTACATTAGTTGTTTTGACTTGTAAGTTATGCGTATGTTTTTTTTTGCTTTGTTTAACATCCTGAAACGATGTGATTTTTGACATCACAGGTTGTCTCCTATTGTGAAAACCCTGGTAGTGCTTCTTTTGCATGCAGTTACGTCATTGTTCTTGTCACTTCGGAGGTATGGAATAACTAATGTAGACAAAAAATAAGCGGTTCGAAAAGAGATATTTTCATCCTTCTATTTTTCTGTCAGAGGCTCTTGCATTTTGTCTCTGCCGCATGTCAGTTTGCAACTGACCAGCTGAATAATTAGTCAATTCATTCACAGGCTTAAAGTATTATCCTTTAATAGGAGAGAAGAATCACTGGATGGAGTGAGTTGATTGCCATGTAACAACTAAATAGTCATAGCAAGAAAAGTAGAAATAATGACAATGATTGTTTCAAGAGCCTCTTCATTTATATGTCAAATATTTTTGGCAACATCCTGACGACTCTTATGTTGGCTATATAGCTCAGATTGCATATGGTGGGATTATTTTACTGGATTTTAAGAGGTTTTGTTTAGCTATCAGTATAGACTAGCATAAGTGTGTTATATTGTGTTTCTTCCTTCTCTTCCCCCTAGAAAATAATACTTGTCACCAGGCTCATACTGATTTCTTTGGTACATGTGTCAGGTTCCACATGTGATGGATATTATTTTTGCTGAGCTAAATAGAGCTTGTATTTATACGGTTCCAAAGCACATAGTATACTCACAGGTGACCCATTTCTTGAAATTTGAAGTCTTTGTTTAACTTTGTGTACCATCATCCTATCATTTTTTTTCCTTGGTTTGCGATAGTGGGTTGGCCATTGCAGAGTACTACTTTATGCCATGTCAACTGTCAAGAAAACTGCATTAACAAGAATTGCATTTTTTTCCCCTAATTTGCCGGTTATCAATTATGCAACATTACTTATTACTGCAGTCAGCCTTTGAATCAAAAGAGGCATATTACAAAACCATTGGATTTCGAGAAGATCAGGGAAAGATTGAGAATGTTGAGGAATATTTGGAACGGTTAGAATCTTACATGAAATTATACGGAGCTCTGGTTCAGGTTCGTCAATATGATCTTGTGCTCAATCAGTGAAATGACTATTTGGAGTTCTAATTACGTAGGTCTTGTGAGTCATACCTCCTAGTCGTTTCTTCTTTCATGAAGACAAAACAGCTAACCCATACTGCTTCTGGCAGACGGAAATTGCCGGTATTCAGAACATGCATGGCTTGAAAGAAGGTTGGGCTTGGATTGCAAGATTCTTAAATGCACTCCCCGCTAATAGATTTACTGCAGTTGCACTTAATGCATTCCTCCGTGTAAGTTATCTAAGACTAAAATAACAATTACAAATGTCGTGTTTGGAATTGTTCTTGTTTTTGCTTTTCACGTTTTTTGAGAAAAAAATGAAAAGAATTCCAAAACGGTGTTTGGCACAATTAAAGACCAAAAACGGAAATGAAAACGATTTTTTGGTTTAGTGTAAAAATGAGAGAGAAATGAAAAACGACTTTTAGTCGTTTTTCATTTTTTGTTTTTGTTTCTCCTCTCTCGAGCAGAGAGAGAGAGAAAGAAAGAGAGACATTAATGGGTTTTTTTATATTGAAAACAATCTCTAGATAAAATTATCAAACGCATTTTTAAAAATGATTTATGTCTGAGATTGAAAACGTTTTCATTTCCATTTTCACACAAAAAACAAAATCATTTTGAAAGAGTTCTAGACGCACCCAAAAAAATTAACCTCAGATTCTCTGGAACAATATTGTGAGACCCTTTAAAATTTGTGATGAACAGATGGCAGGATATGCTCTCTTCAAAAAGTACAAATCCCAGTTTAGGAAGATTCTGAACATCGTCTCAGAAAACTTTCTGAATGCTCTAAAAGCTCGTAAAGATTCAACACTGAACTCGGTCATCGCTAAGATTCAGTCATACATAGAAGACAATAAGTTCCTTCAAGAGCCAGAAGGAAGAAGCCTGGAGACCTCATTGCTATCCAGTATTATGGTCCCCGAGTCTGATTACCAAGATTCATACCATCGCGGGGGATATCATTACTGATTATTTACCTAGATGACATAGCCATGCGTATTTGAGTTATATGTTTGTTGTCATAGGTCGAAAATGCCTGCATTGTCCTTGTAAATCATTATTTTTCTTAGGTTAAGAAAAACAAAAAATGAAATTATTGTTGTCATTTATTGGCCTGTTGTCTAGCTGTATGAATGTACTTCTAGAGTTTGTAGGCAGTCCAGATTTTATCTGGGGCGTAATCAGGAATTAGAAATACCAAAAAAAAAAAAAAAAATGATTCTCTTCTAGGAGTTATACAGCTATCATTTGTAATTTTTGCAGTGTGTGTGGCTGCTGCTATTTAATATTTCAAGGGAAATTATTCTCTTCACATAATCATTCGGTACTTCAAGTTCAAGTTTCTTAAACATCTGTGATTACCTTTGATCACCTATACACATTTGCTACAGAAGTGAATAAAGAAATAGTTTTAGAAATGGCATTGTTTTGCTTCCTACAATAATATATGGCATCATCATTTACAAAAACACATCATTTTACAGTCACAAAAATCATGTTACGCGCCCTAATTGCACATGTACAAAAATCGGAAACAGAAGACCTTAAGAACAAGAATAACTTGCACAAACAAATGGAAGCTCGAGGATATTTCAACACTCACAAAACCTCAACTCTGACCAGGAAATTTAATCGGACTTGCAATCTGTTACGAGCAAAGTCATCATCCATGATAAACTTCCACGACAATCCCAATCTCTCTATGGCCACATAGTAATAGTTTACACAAACTTCTAAGAATCGAGCTCATACGCAAACAATCACACTCGACTTGAGCACTCCTGTACATCCTATAGCGGTCCGGTTTTGAGTTAACTGTCTCAAAATTTCAGAACATATTTGTATCTTCAGAGCCTCTTTGTGCCACGATAAAACTCACACATGATGGGAGTATATTGAGAGCATAAATAACTCTCAGAGATGTGCAGAAAAGCTGACTAATAGAGCCTTATTCTGGTTTCAATTGAGCTCCGGCAAATGGGGCATAGCTGGAGCACTTCTCCACAATCAAAACATGTCTGCCAAACAGAAAGAGAGGGAAGAAAGAAACGAAGATAAATGCATTATAATCACAATTTCTGAATAAAGTCCCGCAACTTGAAGATCATAATGACAAACTAGAGAATGGTTCACCTGATGCCCGCAACCAAAGGCCATGTCTTTCGGGTATGTCAAGCAAATGGGGCAAACCTGAACAAGGTCATCAAAAAGGGGCAAGAAAATGTTAGGTAACATTTGTCAGAACTGATACGTTCTTTTATTCATGGGCGGGAAAAACGAACTAAAGCAAGTATCCAAGTTTCCTGAAGAACAGATTTGAGTACCCTATTATCATAAGAACTTGGAAGAGGTTGTGAACTGACTCCTGCATCATAGGAAGAATAATGAGGCGGACTTTGTGTGCTGACTCCTGCGTCATAGGAAGAATAAGGAGAGCGGGTTTTCTGGAAACTGCTCGAGCGGCTAGTGTGCCTTCCATTGCTAGGAGCCGCAATTGGTGGAGGAAGAGGAACCCTGTTCGGAGCAGTTCCCCGCTGTCGACTGAATCAAGAGAACAAACAAATAGAAGTTGTCATTCATGTGATTAGATGCAGAAGAGCAAAAAGAAGCAAAAAAACTTAGTATTCAGAATTCGGTTGTTACCCCAATAGACCAAGCTCTATGGTGGCTTTGTATTGAGATGGAATTTCCATCAAAGCCGATAGAGCAAATTCTGCTTGCTTTCTCCCTGGATCCACATTCTTTGACATAATCTCCGTGAAGTTCACAAACTAGATACACAATCAAAAGCGGTGCTTCCCATATAAGCCTCATGGTGAGAAATAATCTGATCTATAGTGTTTCCTACTTCATCGACTTTCGGTAGTGACAGCAAATGTTTCTTACCTGAAAATTGTCAAATGCTCGTGAAGGGATATTGTCATCAAATTCCCTCATCATGTCCCAAGGTCCATCTCCAACACCAACTACGATTATTGACAAGGGGTACTCACTGTAAAATAATGAACAAATAAGGGAGAAAAAAAAAAAAAAGGTTTGTCAAAGTGGAACAAGTTAGGAATTTGCCTTACTCTTAGTTACTGCAATTACAAATGCACTGAGAGATCTATGAATGGTATACCTTGCCTTGACAATTGCATCAATTGTATTCTGCTCTTGTGGGCTGAGATAGCCATTTCTCGTATCCACACTTCTCGTTACCTAACGCAGTAGAAAATCTTTGTAAGGCAGAAATCCTAATTTTTTTTGGATATTCTTGTTCCATTGATAGTACAAGAAACAGATTTCTTATGTTTTTTTAGTATTCTCATGCCAAACCCGATAGGGTATGACAATCTCTAATTGGAACTGTGCATTGTAACACTAACCGAATATAGGCTAAAACTTAAAAGGTGTAGACTAAGCCAATAGCCTGACGGTAATTCTACGACTACTTCTAACATTGAGGCCTTAAGTTCCAACTCATCACCCCAACTATATTTATTCATTGATTTATTTACTTTAATTTTTAAATGCTAAAAGGTGTTTTACCTGTCCATCAGCAATAATCAACAAAACATGGTATTGACCACCGCTCTGCTCAACAATAGTCATCGACATCTCAATCACAGGCGCGAAAGATGTAGGTCCTGCCACAATTAAGATATCAAATAGAAAAAGTTAACGTAAAGATACCTGGTTGAACTTAAGAAATCAACTGTTGGAACATAAGACTGTGTTTCCTAATGGCTCAAGTTTTTAGGAGAATTAGTAAATTAACAAGTACAAGCTTACCTGCAAGGCGAAGGTCGGGAGCCAATTCTCTGTATCTTGTCAGCACTTCCTCAAATCCATTACAGAATCTCTCATTTGGATAGAAGCTGAACACATCTTTATCGTGTGTCGATGCTACACAATATATCTTCGCGATCATTATTCAAGTACTAATTTCATATTAGATAACACAAACTACAATTCTCTTTGTGAAATTACCATCTCCAAATCCAAAACAAGGAATTAAGTTGTCGTCATCAAAGGTGGACAAAGTCTTCCCAATGATCGATATTGCTTGTTCATATGGATTTTGGCCATTTCCTATGTGGTGTAAGCTTCTCCGGTTGAATGATCTCGAACCTGATTTAAAAAAAAAAAAAAAAGAGTTCATCCTAAAAGAACTTTCTTCTACAAACTAAAGTAAGTCCAATATCAAATTAAGACCAAACCTGTCCACTCATTGCTCTTTGTGAAATCAATACCAACAATTAGATTTGAAGACTCAAGACCAGCATGTGAAAGAGCAGAAGTAACCTGCGTGCAATATATAAAAATCCAGACTGTTATATAACACTGCAATTCTTTCCCATGTCAACTAATATCTAATTGTTCATCTTAAACCGGGGAAGAAAAAAAAAAAAAAAAAAAAAAAGGAAACACCCTTTTAAGTCAAGATTGCGAAGTCAACGCTAGATGGCAATAGTAACATAGTCATTAACTTCTAATTCTCCAACTCCATTTTTTTTGCAGAGAAAAACACAAACATGAAAGCCACATATATAAAGGCCTAATTTACCTCATCTAATGAGCGGTAATCATCAGATATTCTCGAGTACTTCCTCTCCAACCTCCTCTGTGGCTGTGGTGTCTGCGGCGGTCGGTACTCGAACGACGGTGAAGGTGCGTAGTGATGTTGTTGCGTGTGATGAGGGTTCTGTGGAGGATATGTCGTTTGAGAATTATACCCGTATTGATGATCCCATGAAGAAGAGTATTGCCTAGTTTCACTCGAACCCTTTGAAGAACCACTTCCCATGATTCAAGATTAAGTACAAACTCTATGAAAAGCTAGCTTTTTGTATGTAACAAAACTAGCTCTATACATATAACTGCTGAAACTTTGTTATCGAAATGAGGACGAAATTCCCATATGCGAAAAGATATATGGTGGAAAAAAAAGACCAAAGACGAATATGTGGGCGGCTTGGGAAACAGACCGGTTCAAAATATTTGTTGCCGACCATTCAAGTAAGCGTTTACTTTCTGAAATAAGGATAGTTATATGGCGTAAAATGCTTGAAGACACTTGAGATTAATGTTTAAAAGAAGCTTCTGACTTGATCAGAAAGATAAAAACATGCAAGGTGTATCGTTGATTGACCATGGGTTGTTCTTTTACATTTTTGAGCTAGGGTAACTGGAGTTGAGTTTGAGTTATAATTTGAGTTAAAATTATAATTTAAATTTGTGTTTAGATGTGCATATTTAAATTATGATTTAAATTGATAATCTTTTTGAGTTTGTGTTTAAGTGGGTCAAAATTTAAATTTGTATTTATATAATATTTTAATAAAAACTCAATAGTGATGAAAATTTTTGATAGGGTATATGGGTAAGATTTTATTTGTCTTTTTGTTGTGAATACATAGAAAAAAAAATTATCTCAATCAGAATTAAAACAAAAAAGTTATGATATTTTTAAGAATAGAAAAAATAATGTTCATTAACTTGAGTTCGAGTTTATAAACTCGAGTTGAAGGGGAAATTTGAACTCGAATTTATCCTCAAACTCTAGTTCAAATTTAAGTTTAAACTCAAATTTTATAAAAAAAAATATGAACTTAAATAAAATTATAACTCGAGTTTAAATTTTTTTAAAATTTCGTTGTAAAAAAATAACCCACATAAGTCTTGAGAAACTCTTAATATTATATGTTTGTTAAAGAGAAAATAAATTAATGTTACAATTATGCAAGTAATCTCTCAGTGCAACTGCAAGGAAGCTCCGGGCAAAAGATTAGTCAGCCACTATTCGTCTCAATCATCCACTTTTGCCTATTTAATCAGCAACTAAAGCCATTGGAAACTCAATGTGAAAGCAACGATTTTTTTTTTCATGCGTACTTTAATTTACAACTTGCTATTTATTTTAGTTCTGTAACAATTAAAACGGCCAATCATTCGAATGTCTCTGACTTCCCATATATTTTTCTCTCTTTTTGGTGTGTGTATTTATATATATATATAATTTTATTTTTTCAGTTTGATAAGGTTGGTTTGAAGGTCAACGTTATTGGTCAAGTTTTCTATTAAGATTGGAAATTGTGTAGTTCTGTAACATGCTTTTCACGTAATTTCTTTCAAAGATTCTTTTCCTTAGCCAAGCCAATGGCTTCTGGAGAGCTGTCGTAGACAGAGGATTAGTCCCTATGATCATTAAGTGGACGTTTGCTTAATTATAATTTAAAATTATTCTCAATTTATGTGTATTTTTTGTGAGAAAAAAATACTGTAACGAATTACGAATCATAATTCAAACAATGACTTGAATCATCGTACTAAGCACCTTTTAAGCAACTGTGAAGTGTGGAATTCAAACTGAAATGTGGATCATAAACTAGTCCCATTCTCCAAACAGGGCTCATCTCAAACTAAAGGGAGAAATTTACGTAGTAGGACACCAAAATCAAAAGCTATACATTTATATCATTTTTGTTGATTAAAAAAAATATTATGGTAGAATATCAAAAATAGTATACCAGAATACTCTTTAAAGATTAGAGTCGGAGATGTCCTATTTATTGAGAAAAAAAAAATTTAGTAGGATATTTAATATCTTATCAGAATATTTTTCTAATAAATATTTAAGTGACATAAATGTAAAGTTAATATTTTTTGAGTGTTATTTATGTATTTTTCTTTATAATTTGCATACGCGGCTAACAGTTTCTAAGCCCATTGCAAATTGTGATCCACTATACTTACTGGATTGAGAAAGAAATCAATATTTATATACAATATGCAAATATGATTTGTCAGCATAAAAATTATTAGGAGTAATTACAAAAACTCCACCTAAATTATGACACTTTGTCTTTCAATCTTTGAAAGTAATATCCGTTCTCTTTAAATAATGAAATGTTAATAAAAAAACTCCTTTATTAGGTTTTTTTTTTTAACAGAAATTGACATTTAATTTGTTATTTTAAGAGTGTTTTAGTAACTCTATGATTTAAAATTTAGTTTGAATATAAAACTAATTTTAATTATGATACATCCAATATTACATTCAATTAATTAAATGTAAGTTAAAATTTTATAAATCTCTTTTTTTTGTAGAATAAAAAAAAATAAAGAAGTTTTTTTAATTAAAAATTAGTTTATATTCAAATTAAATTTTAAATCATAGAATTCTAAAATATCCTCAAAATAGTAAATTAAATGTCAATTTAGTTAAAACCTAACAAAGTAAGATTTTTTGTTAACATTTTCATTAATAAGGGGGAACATATGTTATGTCTTAAAGATCAATGAGTAAAGTGTTATAAGGAGTATAATTTAAGAGGAATTATAATTCAAAACTTTTATATTTTATTTGGTGAAAGGATGAAAAAAACTAACACAAATTAGGGCTGTTCATAAACCCGTAAAATCCGCAAGCCCAACCCACCACATCCCAACCCCACTCGAAAAATGTAATTTCTAGTATTAAATTTTTTTTTTCGGCCCATTCAATGTCTGACCCGAAGTTTTTGGGCGGGGTGTGGGTTGGGCTTATAATAGCCAGCACACCCCAACTTAACCCTCGCTCTAACTTACCTCCTCTAATATCTAACCCTAGGTAGGCAACTCATTTATACTCTCTAGTTTTTTCATGTTTGAATTAAGCCTCTATGTTTGTTTTATGTTAAGACTAATTTATGAGTATAGACTAATTTATGTTTGATGTTGGATGGACTACTTTGTTTCATGTTTGATGTTTGATTGAACTTTGAATTTCTATCTGTTTGAATGCTAGAGTTATTATTTCTATTTGATGATGAGCTTTAAATATTGGATTGAACTTTTAGTCTTTAATTTTTTGAATGTTGAAAACGACCACCCAACCCACCTTGCACCGTCCCAACCCAACCCAAACATCATTGGGTTGTGAAAATTTTCTAACATCGTTGGGGCTAAATATGTGCAACCCACACCATTTGAGGCGGGAAAAGAAAAAGTCCTACCATGCACCAACTCAACCCATGAATAACCGTAATACAAACTAAACACAATATTTTTTAGCAGATTCTCTAATATACTTGAGGTATTAATAAGTTAAATTTTTCTAACCGTTAAATCTATATATTTTTTAATTTATACATAATTTTATATAAATTTAATATATAAAAAATCTGACGCACCAATATATTAACATACTAAAAAAATGTCTCGTATTTTTACTCTAACGATAATCATAATATTCTACTTAATTTGGGGGTGAAAAAAACAGAGAAGAAAAAGAGTGTCCGTATTTTGCATCTCTCTATATTTTGTCCGGCTTTTATGAGGGGGGAAAAAAGGAAATAAAAAATAGAAAAAAGTCTATACTCCGTCGTGTCCGGCCTCCAAAAACATTTGATCAAGATCCTCTGGGAAAAACCGAACCTTCAATCCCCGTCTTCCTCTACTACTCTTTCGCCACGTGGCATAATCGCAACGACGCTAGCGTTTTCATCAACGGTGCACCGAATTATCATATTTAAATATATTTTTTTAATTTCTTAAATAGTTATTTTCTTTTTAATTTTTCTTAATAAAGAAAAGAAAACAACAGCGAAACGGAGACTGGTTGCTGGTAGCTATCGTATTGTTGTTGCTTCTGCTACGCACCGTCACTCCGCCGTCTTCTTCATCTTCTTCTTCCTTTCCGTTTAGGTACGAACTTTTCTCAGATTAATCTCCAAAAGTGAGAAATTTAATCACTAATTAACTTAAATTCGATACTTCAGAAGCGAAAAATCCTTGCTTACCAATCAGAATTTAGCGATTCCATGGTTTTTTGAGATTTTAATTAAGAGAAATCAATACGATTGATTATTGTACAAGAATCAGCGATCAAAGTCGAAAATTGGAGTTTGATTGATGAACCGGCGATAGCGAAATTGCTCGGTGTTGTGCAAAAATGGCGGGTGCTGGTAATGAAGACGCCGATGCGGTGTTGAGCGATGTGGAGGGCGACGATCCGGTGCCGATTCTGATCAAGAGTCCGTCGGCGGATGAAATCTCGCCGGAGAGGTTCCGGGAGGTCCTGGCGGAGCTCGATCGCGAGCGGCAGGCTCGTGCGGCGACGGAGGAATCGAAGGCGGAGTTGGATGTCCGGTTTAACCGCTTGAAGGCTCTTACGCATGAGGCGCTCAGGAAGCGGGACGAGGTCGGGAAGCAGAGAGATGAAGCTCTGCGCGAGAAGGAGGAAATCTCGGGGAATTACGAGAAGGTTAGGGCGGAATTGGCTGAGGTTAATCGGGCGAAAGATGAGGGCTTGAAGCAGGTTAGTGAGATCGCGAGGCAATTGGACGAGGTGGTGAAGGAGAGGGATGGTTTGAGATCGGAAATTGGGAATTCGACGCACATGCTTGTGACGGGAATCGAGAAGATTTCTGGTAAAGTCAGTGCTTTCAAGAATTTTGGGGCTGGTGGTTTGCCTCGGTCGCAGAAGTACTCGGGATTGGCAGCGGTCGCCTATGGCGTCATTAAGAGGACGAATGAGACTGTGGAAGAACTCCTCAGACAGATTGATGCAACGACCAAGTCTAGGAATGAGACGAGAGAGCAGATGGAGCAGAGGAATTATGAGATTGCCATTGAAGTGTCTCAGCTTGAAGCCACCATTGGTGGATTGAGAGAAGAGGTTGCGGAGAAAGTTTCTGCTGTTGAGAATTTGGAGAAGATGATTGCTGAAAAGGATGGAAGGCTGTCTGAGATTGAGAGAGAGATGTCCGAGAAGTTAGCCAAGGTGGAAAGTGAAGCTCTTGAGTTGAGGCAGTTGGTCAGTAAGTATGATGATAAGTTTGCAAAAATGGAGTCGAAAATGGAAGCACAGAAGCCATTGTTGTTTGATCAGGTGAATTTGGTTTCGAGAATTCATGACCAGGTTTATGATATTATCAAGATAGTTGATGCCAGTAATGCGGATCAGTCCGAGTTCTCTGAGTCCTTGTTTCTCCCACAAGAAACAGACTTGGAGGAAAACATACGTGCATCTTTAGCTGGGATGGAATCCATTTATGAATTGACCAGGATTGTAATTGAAAAGACAAGGGATTTGTTCGAGGAAAAGAATCGTGAAATAAAGAGTTTAGATGAAACGGTTTCTCGGTTAAATAAGGAAAAAGAACATATTGGATCTTTACTTAGGAGCGCTTTGTCAAGGAAGATTACATCAAATCCAGCTTCCAAAACGAGTGACTTGTTCAAGGTTGCAGAAAATGGTTTAAGAGAAGCTGGTATTGATTTCAAATTTGGTAAGCTTATAGGGGATAGGAGGGTTCTGAATTCTAGTGATGGCGTTGACGCACTAGAGGCAGAGGGGGACGAAATATACACTTTGGTAAGTATTGAATGGTGTTGGCGTCAATTGAGTATTATTTCAACTTTGGTTTCTGTTTCAAACCCAAGTTTGTCTCTGCTGAGATATTAATATGTTGCACGCAGGCTGGCGCTTTGGAGAATATCGTTAAGACTTCTCAACTTGAGATTATTGAGCTTCAGCATTCTGTGGAGGAATTAAGGTACTCTATTGTTTTGTGCTGCTGTTATGTATTGATGTCTACCTGTGCATCTTTTTCTTACAGAACGTTTTTTTTTTTTTTTCCTTCTAGTTATGTGCATTTGCCTTTTCTAGGTAACTCTGACGTGGTACTTCTTTTCTATTGTTTCGGATACTTCTTTCTGTATAAAGGACAGAGTCCAGTTTACTCAAAGAGCACGTAGAGGCTCAAAAAAAGGAGCTTGACCACCGACTGCATCAGATTGAGGAACTTAAAGAGAAGGAGAGAGTGGCAAACGAAAGTGTATGTCATATATATTTTTTATTGATAGTTCAAATTTAGTATTATTTTTTTTATACAATTATAATTTATGGCTAAATGATTTGGAAGGTGAAATTTTAGGAAGTAGTCCAAAAAGACAACGATACTTTTCATGCAGCCTTAGATTTTTTTTTTCCTTTTCTGGGATTATCAGTTGACCTGTGTATCTGCCAGGTTGAAGGACTAATGATGGACATTGCTGCTGCTGAAGAAGAGATTACAAGATGGAAAGTAGCAGCAGAGCAAGAAGCAGCCGCAGGCAGCGCTGTCGAACAAGAATTCATTGCACAGGTATGCTTGTTAATTGGTAGTGTTAACTGTACTTGGTCATGGCGAACAGTGATTCTATTGTCAAGACACCGGATTTCTTGTTGCTTACTTAATAGTTGTTTATTATACTTTCTTCATGTTGTGAACATTAAAACAGTTTCTTGAAGATGTTACTCTTAAGAGTTGAACTTCTGAGAAAAATGACTTCATAAATGTCCCACTGAAATATATGGTCCCTTGGAAATAACCATCTATTAGCAAGATGGTAATGGTGTAGAGAGAACCAAAGAAAAACAGCGCACGGATCAAGTAAAATAGAATAACACCTGACTAAGGTTGAATATCTCCGACATTCTTGGGAGCTTCTAGAAATAGGATATGTATGTGGAAAGTATAATTATTAGCTTTGGGTGAGGTTTGAAGAGGTAAAGGCCGTAGTGTGGGTAAAGTTAATATACTAAGATATAACTGGCGTACAGCATATAGGCCTAGCCTGATTTCGTTTGTATAATGAACAAAGGATAAGTAAAGTTGAAAATTTATTGCTATAGACCTAGTCAATGCTTTTGCTCAGGATACATTGAACGACCTCCATCTTTAGCTGTTCCAAATCATCCATGCGGACATTTATTGCTATATGCAACTAATCCACGCATAAATCTACGGCAGACTGGAATTTTTAACATGATATTGTCCTCATTTTTTCCTTTTCATTTAATATAAATATGGGTTTCACCGTACAGAAAATAATGGATTTTCATCCTTTATGCTATGATCCACCTTCTTGGTTGTTTTAACATGTTAAATTATTCTGGTTGAGGTCTGAATCTTTAACCGTGGTCAAAATTTTGCAGTTGGCAGCACTTAAGCAGGAACTTGAGGAGGCAAAGGGAGCCGTGCTGGAGTCAGAGAAGAAGCTCAAATTCAAAGAAGAGACAGCTGCAGCAGCCATGGCAGCTAGAGATGCAGCTGAGAAATCGTTAAGGTTGGCAGACTCTAGGGCGTCGAGGCTCAGGGATAGAGTTGAGGAGCTTACCCGTCAACTTGAAGTGTTCGAAAATCGCGAAGACTCGAGAGGCGGAAATCGGCCTAGATATGTATGCTGGCCTTGGCAATGGCTTGGCATGGACTTTGTAGGCGTCAACCGACCTGACGCACAACAACATAGTTCAAATGAAATGGAGCTCTCGGAACCCTTTCTGTGACCATATAATTTTTTGTTTTTCCTATTTATACTGTCTTCATGTATCTTTCAAAATCAGTACAGTCAACAAAAAGGAAAAAGGTAGCTTTAGATCGCCTCTTCATTGTTCAAGGCTTTCTTGTTTGCAATGGTAGAAAGTCGAGAGTAAATTATTTTCACATGGCAGCAGCTTTCCGAAAAACTATAGTTCTTGTTTGGTTGGAGGGTTCAAATCAAATGATTTGAACCATAATTTAAATTTTATGAGAGAAAACAATGTAACAAAACGTTTTAACTTTAAATTTTGATGAGAGAACATTATTTGAACCAAAAACTGGAGTGGTTTGAACCTCAGAGTAAACAGGTACTGTACTATACTTTTCTTTTACTGTTAACACTTCTGAAATGGTTCTTTATTTTTTTTCACTGTCAACATCAATATTAAGCTTGCAAAACAGAAAACGACAACAACACGGCCAAACTCCATCCGTGTGTGTGTCCCGGTCCAGACATTCGTGTACCAAATGCAGAGAACCGACAGTTATTCAGGTCCCGTTCATTTTGTTGATTTGAGTTTAGAATTTGAGTTTTGTTACAGTAAAAAGCTCTCACAAACAATCACATCTAACTTTTTTGCTACAGTAAAAAGCTCTCACATAAAATCACATCTCAACTCGAATTAAAAACTCGAATCAGTGAACTAAACGGGTCCTCAAGAGAACGTCCACTTATGGGCTATGGCAAACGGTTACTCAAGAGATTGTCCATTTATGATCTTGTTAAATTCGTCTTTATCGTTGTTTCTTGTAGTAGCTTTTGTCCTCCAAGGGGAACTCATTGATATATATTTGTTGTTTTTTTTATTATTATTTAAGTTGGGGATATATATAGGACTCGTTCACTTCGCTGATTCGAGTTTATAATTTAAGTTGAGATGTGATTTTATATGATAACTTTTTACTGTAGCAAAAAAGTTAGATGTGACTGTTTCTGAGCACTTTTTACTGTAGCAAAACTCAAATTCTAAACTTGAATCGGTGAAATGAACGGGACCATAGATATATACTAGTTTTGTGCCCGCGCGTTGCTGCGGGAAAAATTTTATAATGTATTGGAAGTCTGAAGTTTTGTTTGGTGCAGTATTAGTTTATATATATGTGTGTATATTTATGTACAATGTTGAGAGAAAAGTACAATATTAGTGTATATATACATACACATATATAGATATATGTATATTATATGCCTACCAAAAAGTTTTAACATGATATTACATTGTGTGTTTTCCTTTTTTTTTTGTGCTTCTTTAGAGCTGCAAAATAAATTTTCTTTTTAAAAAAAATTAGTGCTGCTTTTTTAGAAGATTTAAATAATTTTAATCATATAAAGTATTAATTCAAGTATTTAGAGATAGTGATATTACCTGATTCTTGTCCTTTTTTGGATTGCTTAGCTAGTCTTGATTCGGAACTAAAATCATTATTGATTGAATCATGTATAAGTATATGTAATCCTTTTAGAGTTGTTGCTCTTAAAAAGACACGTATAATTGACCGCGAGTAAAAATTTCATTTTCTAAATATAATCCTACTTTGTCTAAAGATAGTCCTTGGCTTTTATTTATTATCATTGTATAGCAAATTTTTATAGAAAATTATCATCTTTTTAATATAAATAACCATTTAGATTCATATACAGTCATTTCTATTATTAAGATATATACTTTTTCAGTGATATCATTTGAACTTATTATTTGTCCTAGAATCTTATCTGTTAGTTGTGTAATAATGAGCCGTGTTCCATTGCATAATCTAGCAAATTGATTTAGATTTCGCAATAGCATGATTGAAATTCTAATTTTAAGATTTAATTCATGTGGTTGTACAATAAATAAATTGTTAGATTTGCCATATCAAAGATGATGGCGTACAAAACAAATCAAGAAAATAAAAATAATATGTTCATTATGCTGATAAAGAAATAAAAGACAGATAAACACTATGACATTTGGATTTGTCTTTCGTAGATTTCCTGCTTAACAGATTAACAAACATGTCAAGAATTTTCTTCTCTACAACATTATTAGTTAAATTTCATATAAAGAAGAAAAGAAAAGAAAAGTAGATGATATAATCTAAATAAATGAATACAAAAATAAGCAGATTATAAATGCAATATTGTTTTTCTTTTTAAAGGTTGTGGCTCAGATATTAGTTATAGTCAACAATGTATGGCAAATTAATTGGCTTATATTTTCTTAGCGAGTTTGTCACTGCCAATTTAGCGGTAACAGGACGAAGGCAGAGAATTTAGCCATATTGTATTTGCCGCATAAGTTATGATATGTCTTAAAAAAATGACTGGAATCAGACATAAATTTGCCCAAAAACTGCTAGGTGAATTGAAAGGAGCCAACTCAGAATGAATCAAGAGAAGGAAAAAGTCTGAATGCTGTAGTCCGCTGAGAATGAAGAAGGAGCCAACGCCAAAAAAGTATATCATTACTTAACAGCCAAGGTCAACATGACCAGATTATATTGTAGGTCACTGAGAAGACCAAAAGGCCACGTATAGGAACCAAACAGAAAAAGGAAAGCCGTGAACAAAAAAGGAACAAAAAAATGTCTTACTGAGCAGTGAGAACTAAATCTTTGTATCTTAATAAACAATGCTAAAACCACCCTCCTATGGGTATATGTAATAAGGTGAGAAATGAAATAAAGATAGTAAAAATGTAAAAAACTTTGAAGTTTTTATAAAGTAAATTTTAGAGTAAAAATTTAGATAAGGAAACAAATAAAGAACATTATGTGAATAAATAAATTTTCAATCAAACAGTAGGAACTTCAGAACTCGAAATAAAAGAAGAAGAATTGGGTAAAAACTTTAAATGGACAAATAGATAAGAGATATTAAATAAGAATACAACTTTCAAATTGAGCAAAAGGGAATGTAGTCAAAGTGTAAAGGAAGATGATAGTATAAGGTTAAATAGATTGTAAGAGTTGAAAGAACATGGCTGCATCCCACGCGAAATGACAAAGAAACTCACGCCTAAAAACAATCATCAGAGCAAACAATAAAGGGCAAAAGAGTTAATACACATTAAGGAAAACCAAATAAACCAAAAAGCAACGCGCAGGAACCAAACGGATGAAAAAAGCTCATGGGCAAAAAAGGAAAAAAGAAAAAATCACGGTACAATAAACAGTGATTTACCAAGAAAGATATACGCGTTTGGAACTCATTCCAAAATAATTTTATTTTTTGTATGCAAATGAAAAAAGGGAAGAGAAATAGGAACTGAAGTTTTTATAAAAAATAAACTGAAAAAGGTAGCAAGGCTGGAATAAGATGCTAAAGATTATGAGATGAATAAAATGAAAATAGATGTTGAAAAGAGTAAAATGAAGTAAGAGTTTAAATTAAATAAGTATTCAAAATCTTGTTGGCCTCAATTTCAAAAAATTAGGAGGAAATAAAAGTTGAAACCAAAATTGTTTTGGTAAATTGTGATAAATAATATCAGGATGAAAATTAAAAGGAATTATTCATGGTAATTTTTGGACATGTTATATCTAACTCAACAGGTCAAAATTAAATGTAATCATCATTGCCACATACCAAAATGAAATAGAAAATAAGATATATAAAGTAAAAATATATAGACACGCATGTGATTATGAATGCAATAAACGGAATTAGTATGTCCGAACAAAGCATAAGAAAAGACATTGATTAAGATAAAAAAAATAGAATGGCATAATAGACAGCACAAAATAATAGCACTATAACAGACCAATACAATCATTATCAACCACGAATATTATAAAAATCATAGGAATAAGTTAGTAACAGTACTTGCAACGCTATAAATATCTCCTTAAATCAGTGATATCAACGAACCAAAAGAATATCAAAGAAACGGGCCTTAAAACATGGAATAGTCAATTCATTGGCATGAAATGAAGTAAGCAAAAAATTAAAGAAATCAGTACAAAATTAAAAGAAGGAAAAAAAAAAAAAACAAAGGAATGGATATAATTTGAGCCAACAATCATATATAACACCAGAATCAAGTACATTTCATATCCAGACTAATATGAAAGGAATTACATAGCTACAAATAATAGTGACATATCAAAATCAATATGAAGTGAACCAACAAAAATAGTAATAGCATTAGAATAAGTTGAAAGAAAGACTAAACTAAAATATCCAAATTATCCTAATCAAGAACTATAGACAATACCAGAATCTGAATAAACAAAATATAGACACAATAATTTTTAAAACAATCATACATCAACAAACAGATGAAAATCAATTATAACCATCATTGATATGTAACAGAATAAACTAAATGTAAGATATAGTAAATAAAAATTGAGAAGAAATTTAAAAAACCATTAGAAAAATGTTATCAAGCAACCAAATAAATAGAGATATATAAAATATGGATTCAAATAAAGAAAAAATAAAACTATTCTTTTCTTCAAATTAGGGTAAATCCAAAAAAAAAAAAAGGCAACAAATCATTATTTAAATAGTTTTAGTAAAAAGAAATGGACAATGTTTCAATCCAAATGGAAAAAAGTTGCTCACAACATTTTTTAAACAAATTTTACCACTCTATAGCCACAAAACAACTTTATAAATCATGACATTATATCAAAATGAGATAAAGATAAAATACCTCAAATAAAGATACAAATATGAACAAATGCCATTATGAAACAATTAAAATCATTAGTAAACAGTGATAGAACATACACAGAAATAATCGTAACAATAAGAATAGATCCTCAAGAATACTATAAAAAATAAAATAAAGTAATGGCACCATAGCAAACCAATACATCTATTTTAAACAAAGAATTTAAAAGATTATAATAAAAAGCTATAGATAATACCTGCAATGCCCTAGATTATGCTTTAAGGACGAAATACCGGCCAAGCAAACAAAGGTCAAACACAGGAAGCTTAGAAAACTGACCAGCAAATGGACTAAGCTGAACCACAGTAGCCACCAAGGGAAAATTATTAGGATAACTCAACTCTTTTATAAATAAAAAATAACGAAGGGAAAAAAACAGAACATATTCAAATCATATTAATCAAAACTATAAATAAGATGAGAATCCAAATCAGCAAAATATATCACAATAAATTTTTGAAAAAATGATATAAAACAAAATATATAAAAACTTATTATAATTATCATTGTCACTTATCAAAACTAAATGAAGACAACACATATTATATATATATATATATATATACACACACACAGAAGTATCAATACTACATAGTATTGGAACTCAAAAACTAATAACTATATCTATACGTATATCAGTAATAAACTAAGAAAAAAAATAAAGATTTTTAACATTTATTCACAATGACAATATAAAGTTACAAATAATGTCAGAAGTAAAACAAATAAATATTATCAAGATAAATTAATATATTCATAATCATAAATGGATATTAAAAACATATGGACAAAGAATATTAATCATACCTGAAATGTAGTCAACATTATCTCACGTAAGTAATATCAACTAACAACACAGAAGTGAAAGGGATAGAACAAAAGCAGTGGAGCAATAAGTACACCAGGGTAACATAAAGTATTAAGGCCTCGTTCATTTCACCGATTCGAGTTTTCAGTTTTAAGTTTCTACAGTAAAAAACTCTCAAAAAATGTCACATCATCTAACTTTTTTCTGCTACAGTAAAAAACTCTCAGAAAATGTCACATCCCAATTCGAATTGAAAACTCAAATCCGCGAAGTAATTAACGATGGCGATGGAGCAGAAAAGGAAAGGTCTGATATGCAGTAATAAGCAGAATGTAATACAGTATTAAATAGATATATATATATATATAAACTTAAAAGAGCCATACTTAAACAACAACCAACCAATAACAAAATAACAGCTACTACTTCATAGTCGGTGGCGAGAAGCTGTGATTTTTTTAACTCTATAAATATAAGCTATATAGAAATAAATATGTGAAGAATAAGCAAAAAAAAAAAAAAAAAAAAAAAAAAAAAAAAAAAAAAAAAAAGGAAAAAGAAAAAAATCTAAAAAATAAGCAGTACAGAAACAAACGGAGAAATCGTAAAAAAGAAAATAAAAAATTCATAGAGCTTTTTTCGTTTCTTTCCCAATTTTCTGAAAATTTTTTATACATTGAAATAGCAAAAATATCACAATTACATTTATTACATTTAGAAGTCGTTTGATTCATGAATTAGAATCATTTTCAATTTACGTGTAAAAAAATACTATAACGAATTATGAATTATGATTCGGGTACGAATCCCCAACCAAACAATAATGCTTCTGGAAGAAAGATAATACAAACTATTAAAAGAACAGTACGAACAAAGCAAGTAAAGATTATAGCTCACCATTACACATCACCAAATCAATAAATGCAAAAGAAATTTATCAAGACAAACATCAGAAGACTGAGAGTAAAGAGCGACACATTACCTCTGCAAATCTGATATGAGAAATATCTAAAAAAATCCAGCATTAATCTATGGAAATTAGCCACCAAAAAGACGCAAACGAAATTTAGCATTTATCAACAATTATTTTTATTGAGAAGAAAAAAATTCAGCAAATTAACTAACACGGCAACACTTTTTTTTTCTGAAACCCCAAAAAAATATATATAGAAAACAAAATGTACCAAATCCAAAACATCAACTCTGTAAAAACTACAATAGGAAAAGAAATCACTGAAAATCCCAAATCTAAACAACGCAAAATCAACATCAACGAATAGGGGAAAAAACCCACAACCCTCAAAAGGAAAAAACACAACATGAATAAAAGCCCTAATCGAAAACAAACAAATCAAAGACTGCAAAGGAAGAAAAAAGGCAAACGACAAAAGCTTGCACCAAACCCATCAACAAAATCACCGACCCAAAACGGGAAAAATCAATGCAACGCAAAAAACAAAAATGAAGGAAAAACTGGTAAGAAAAAAGAAAACTGAAAGAGAAGAAACAAAAATGAAGAAAAAAACTGGTAACAAAAAAAAATGATAGAAGGCAGCGGACCCAAAACAATTAAGAGAAGAAAGAAGCCCTTAGGGCTGCATCCCACACGAAATGACAAACAACCAAGAAAGAGAGCAAATGAAGGGGGCCAGAGAAGATGAGAGAATCGACGGGGAAAGAAAAATAGTGCACAGGGGGGTTTCTTTAAGAAAATCAAAAAGACCAACAGGTCCACCACCCGCAAACGGAAGAAGCAAAACGAAAAAGGGCAAAAGCGTCACAGCACTATTGTAAAAAAGTAAATTGAGTGTGGATGAACAGTGCACACGGGTCAGTAATAATTTGTTGTTTTATTTTTTTTATATATTTAAGTTGGGGTTATGATATTTGAATTCTAGAATTTGACAATAGAAATAATGATTAATTATCGTTAGGTTAAACCGACAACATTAGTGTAATGCTTAAACAGATATCTTTTGTGTACATAAAACAGCTGAACAAAAGACACTATCATACCATATAAACTTTCTCCTTTCTACTAAAAACAAATCAAAAGGAAAGAAAACAAAAACAGAAAATATGAAATCAAACAAAGACTTTAGGACAAGCTGCATAATGCAGAAAAATTATTTATTCCCCATCGATATAATTACTGCAGTTAATCTATGTAACTAGAAGTGCTTCTCTGGGACAAGTTTGAGTGGAGTTCTCTTGGAGATGGTAAGGGAAAGACCAGCTGACTCTTCCATGTCGATATCTTCCTCCTTCATTCCATTAGGCAATTTCCAGTCAAAGCTGTACAAGAGATTCGCAAGGCCAAGCTCCACTGTTGTTGTTCCCATATATATAGCTGGACACACCCTTCTGCCAGAACCAAATGGCAACAGCTCGAAATGTTGCCCTTTGACATCGATGGGACTATCCATAAACCTCTCCGGGATGAATTCCTCGGGATCCTTCCAGGACTCGGGGTCTCGTCCGATAGCCCAAGCATTCACTTGGATCATGGTCTTCGGGTAGATGTCATAGCCATTGACCTCGAAGTGAGATATGCTTTCTCTAGCAAGAAGCAGTGGAGCCGGAGGATGCAATCTGAAAGTCTCCTTAATTATCATTTTGAGATAATGGAGCTGATCAGTGTCACCATCAGTGACTTTTCCTTTGTTTCCAACGCAGTTTCTAACTTCATCCTGTGCTTTCTTCATCAAGCTCGGTCTCTTGGCTAGCTCCGCCATTGCCCACACCATGGTTAGCGCAGCAGTATCTACCCCACCTAAAAAAATATTCTGCAATCAGAAAAATCGATGTTATATACAAGCATGAAAATAATCAATTATAGAGTGAAAACAGAATAAGACATAACAACTAGCAAGGATTAGATATTTGAAGCTTACCAAGAGAACTGCCTTGATATTCTCTTCGGTTAGATGAGCAGCTCCAAACCCCTCTTGCTCTTTCACTATTTTCAGCAGCACATCGATGATATCGTCGTGCTGCTGTTTTGTTCTCCCAGGACTCAGGTGATCATCAATCACGCTTTGGAAGAAAGTATCCATATCCCGAAATACCTTTTCGCGCCTCTCTTGTAAACCAGAGAGTCTGTCAACAATCCATCCCACGTATGGGAAGTACTCTGCTGCGCAGAAGCTTCCCATAGTGGCCTCAACGGCTTGGACCACTTCATTAAATCTTGTGTGATTAAAGTCACTCCCTTGGAAACTTGTTCCAAAAGCAATCCTGAAAATCATACCAGCGGTAAGAGCAAACAACTTCTCAGTAAGATCAACAGGAGAAGAAGAAGACGCGTGATGAGATATCGAGTTGATCAGCCTAGTAATTTCTTCTTCCCTTACTGACCAATATGACTGGACCCTCCTCACGCTGAAAAGCTCAAGAACACATATTTTCCTTATCTCCCTCCAATATTCACCGTAAGGCGCAAATGCCAAGTCTCGAAAATTGTATGTTAGTCTCCGAGGGCCATGTAATGGAGGTCGGCTGCAGCTGCTGAGATCATGAGTCTTGAGGACTACTTTCGCAGCCTCGGCGGAGGATATTATAACGGTTGGCAAGTAGCCAAGTCGAAGAAGCATAACCGGGCCATATTTCTTGGAAAGTTGCCACAAAGATTGGTGAGGCAATGGACCAAGCTGGTGTAAATGGCCTATGAAAGGAAGCTTGGGAGGGCTTGGAGGAAGGTTCTTGTTTTGTTTATTGGAAATTTTCTTTTTCATGAGAAGCAGTAGGAGGAGAAGCAGGAGAGAGAGAAGCCAAACTTGGTGCACATCAACGGCCATTGGAGCTTTTCACTCTTACTAAGATTTTGTTCTTCTTTGGTAGCAAAATATATATAAAAGTGTTAAATATAAAACAATAGCCTATCTCTCAACAACTTAAACTTTTAAGATTTAATTGGTAAACTAACATAGTATCAGAGTAAGAGATTTTAAATTTAAACCCTCATAATTATACTATTTATCATTATTTAAATTATTATTATCATGTGTTAAATTTTTAATATATTTTAAATTTAAATATTCACGTATTAAACTTTTTAATTAATTTATTCAAATAATTATCATTATCTAATCTACATGTGACATATAAAAAAAATATTAAAATATAAAATTATTGTTAACTTATTTCTGAGTGAATAATAATTTTATATTTAAAAAAAAAAAAAGGAGCAAAAGATCTAACGTTTCTTTTTCCATGATAATTACTGTTTTTGGAACCCTGTATTGAATGGTTCCGCCGTCTCCTGAGGAGATCTTTTTGGAAACGTATTCAAAGTAACAATTGGTGAGTTGACAGAAAAAGTAAATGAAATGGGAAAGAAAAACTATTTTCAGATTTTTTGGAAAAAAAATTAAAAATACTAAAAAATTGTTTTTTCTTTTCCCTTTTTATTTTATTATAAGTAACACTGTACTTTCAGAAACATACTCAAATATATTTTCAGAAACGTTTCGAGCACCATTTACATTTACAAAAATATTGTCATTCCTATTTCACATCCATGATAAATCATTTCCAAAATGCTTCCGAATAAAGCCATTTCCAAAATGCTCTCACTTCTAATTGATAAGAAGGTATTTCTTGAATTTCACCCTAATTGTTGTTTTGTCATCTCTAGTTCCTAATTCTACATTTCCTTACTGTGGTGTCGCACTTTTTGGTTGTACCTTAACGTTAATTTATCATTACCTATCCATTGTAAAACTTAAATGTTAAAAGGTGGAACAATAATAATAATAATAATAATAATATATTTTTTATATTCTAATATTTTCCCTTCAAGTTTAGGTCAAGATCGAACAAAGCACTTATATATCTTAGGCCAGACAAAGAAGGAAAAATGCAAAGTAGATAATAAATCCACGTGATAAGTAACGAAATTTTAATTAGAAGGATTTGTATTCAAGATCTCTTTTCATATAACATGTTAGTTTATCAAACTATCCCAAAAACCATTATTCTATTAGAAGGTGGTCCATAATTATATTTATATTCAAACAATTATGAAAGAAAGGGACATTTACCGTTTTCTTGTTCGGTGTATTCAGATTGGTTGAGTATAAAATACATGGTCCTACATCTTTAACATTAGCATTTTGTTTTGTTTTTTTAACAATTATGAAAGAAAGGAACATTTACCGTTTTTTTATTCGGTGTATTCAGGTTGATTGAGTGTATATCATTTTTTTGTGTGACTGAATTAACATTATTGTTTTGTTAAAGGTGAAGAGAGACTTTTTCCATTAACCTCATGAAAAATACCACGACTCTGTAAGTCTGAGAGTTGATTAATCAAAATTTCATTTCCTTATCCTTTCTCTGTTTTCTCCCCATTAGATAAGCTCTAGTTACTTCTTGAGTTGTCGTTTAGATTAAGGTCTCATGCACTTATGGACTTTTTTGGTGAGTTATAATAAAAGCATAAAACTGTACTCTATTTTTTTCTTTGTCACAATTTATTTATGACAGACAAACTTTCATCGAAATAGAAGCAAAGTTCTGGTTAGATAGTGATTGTTTACTACTTGGATAAGCAAAATTCTGGTGGTTGATTGGAAAAATATCTTGGATTTTATATATTTCCATGCGGTCGGTGGTCCATTATCAATTTTGGCCGTGCATAATATATATATATATATATATATGTATGTATATATAACATGTTGAGTTACAATTCTCTAAAAATACGTCTCTAGCTTCATCAAGAAAAATCAAACTTTTACTGCATTTTTGAAACGTGCCGGTAATTTTTATTTTCTTAATAACGAAAAGAAAAGGAGATTCCTGCTTGGATTGCTTTCTTTATTTTCACCCCGATTTTTTTTGGGAAGAAATTTCACTTTTTTTTTTTTTGAGTTATTGTTACTTTGCGGTACCAAGAGTATCTTTTGAATTTGTGGTAAATACCACCTTTGCAACTTGATTTTTGACAGGGAAACATAGAATATATATATATATTTTTTTTAATAACATAGAATAGAATAGAAGAAGGGAAAAAAAAATACTTTTAAACGTTTGAAAGGAGAAAAAAAATCCAGGAATAAATTTGATGTTTATAGGGAAAATTCAAGGGATGTTTTTAGTATTATTTTTCCTTCTTCGTGACCCGAAAGATTAAAATATTCATATCTATGAAAATATTCATATTTTCAATTAAGATTTTTGGATGAGTATATTGAAAATATGGAGGAATATAGTTATTATTAATATGAAAATATTTATTTATTAATATTTTTATTCCCTTAAAAATATATATCATTTCACAAATATGGGGATTGAAAACATCAATCCCATGTTGTATATGTATTTAGAAATCAATGTGCATTATCTTTATTGAGTTACAAGAAGTGTATAAAAACGTCTCTAAGCATTAACGTCTAGCCAGAAGATTTTTCTGATCTGCGCTGGATAATATTTTCAACAAAAACAAAAAGACAAAACGTCTTTATATATATGCAACATGGTACACAATATTTGTCTCAAATATATATATAAATATGATTAGCAAAAAACTATATATATAGATATGATATTCCATTAAGTCGTCCATCATTTTCACCGCCAAACTGATTGAAGCATGTGTCACATATACCACAAGCACCTTAGAACGCTACTTTTAATTTCAAGTTTGTCAAAGTCTTAAAAATTATTGAGATACTATACATAGGACGCAGATGCAAACTGCGACATATAGGCAAAGCATAAACTCGAGGGAAAAAGATTTTTTTTCTCTTTTCTTCGACTCTAGGAAAGATCTAAAGACAATTTAGAAATTATTTTTATTTTTAGAGTATAAAATAACCAAAAAAGTAATACAAAAAATAAAATGGCTAGCATTTTCTTGCTAGTTATATTTGATTAGTGTGAAATGTATTTTTTAAAATAGCTAATTATTTGACTATTGGTTGGAGAGGAAAAAAGTAAAAAAAAAAAAAAAAAATTTTAAATCATTAAGAGCCCGTTTGGTTCATAGATTAGAATCATGATATTAGAACTATTTTCAATTTACGTGTATTTTTTTATGAGAGAAAATACTGTAGCGAACCATAAATCATTATTCGAATAAGAGAACGAATCATCCAACCAAACGGGCTCTAACTCTTTTAACTAAAAATAGAAAATGGCGAGTATGTGTAGAGATAAATATAATTATTTGACTATTCGTTACTCTTTTGATTAAAAATATGAAATGACAAGTACGTATAGAGATGCTCTCTTAGATTTAGGCTGCTCTCGCTTTCATGCTTCAAGATTATTGGTGCGTAGTAAAAGCAAGTTATTATAATTGTATATTAATTTGTAATTCGTATTATCGCCTTTTGGGCTAGTTTTTTACTTTAGGTGAATTGTTATATTATAAAACTAACACGTTGGTTGTATTTTTTTCATATTATTTAAACACATTCTTTCTGGACTCATTTTGTTTGTGTACTAGTAATTTTCAAAAAAAAAAAAAAATTTGTATGTGTAGTAGTGGTTCAGAGTTCATCTCTTTTCTCGACATTATGTCGTTTTCATGTTGATGTTGTTTTCTGAGATTGTCGTTTTTAATGATTGTTCTCACTTTATGTGTCAATGTCGTCTTCCATATTATGTCGTTTTCTTTTTGTCGTCCCATTCTAAAATTATGTCTTTCATTTTTTTTCCTGCCGTTATTTGAAAAAATTGTTGCTATTCCTTTCATAACTAGTTGTTTACTGAAATCACTATAGTTCTCATTACTTGTGTGTCTTAATTTCGTAGGTTGTTTTCTAAATTAGCATCGTTTTCTTAACTGGCGTCTTTAGTTAATTCTTGCGGTTTTTCACATGTTGTCGTTTTCTTAGCACACGTTGTTGATTAATTTGTGTTGTCCTTCTTCATCGTTTGTGTGTTGTTTATTTCTAGTGCATTTTTAAGAAGTAATTATCTTTGTGTGTGGTCGATGTGGGATTCTAAAGTTTCAACTGTCAGAGAAACCAATAACAAAACGATAACAAACAAGCTTGTGTGAAGCTGCGTATAGCCAAGTAGACTCAAAACTCGAGTCACGTGAGATGCGTTTAAGACTGTTTTTAGGCTACTAACTCAATGGTATAGTGGACGCGTTTCCTTTCCTAATGTAAGTAGCCAAGGGTGCGGACATTGTTAGCGTACGGGTCTTTTTAGTCACGTTCAAGAGAATAACTACCACTAGCCATTCCTCCCCACATTTTTATTCACAAAACAAAAGGTCCACGACGTTTGATTTATAGATTCAGAATCATTATCGGTTTACGTATATTTTTATGAGAGAAAACACTGTAGCGAGTCATAAACCATGATTCGAATCATGATACGAATAATTATACCAAACACCCAGCCTTTTAATCAAGTCTTGTTGGATCTTTCAATCCTAGTTCTACATTCCAGGAATCATCACACCAAATTACTAAGAAAATAAGTTAGAACTCTGACATGTCTCCATTGATGCAGCCTTGAATCTCCAATAATGTTCTTTGAGATTATGAGCACGACGGTTATTGCCTTCCTCAGTCAAATCTCTTTAGTTCCTTAATGGGGTGTTTTCTCTCTAGATGGGGAAGAATAAAAACTGTCGTATGATTTGACGTATTGGGGACCATAACCTAAGTTTCTTTATATACTGCCCCATTAGGCTCCCATTAAACCTAACTGGGTCAATATGGGTATCCGCCCATTCAGCTCATACCCTGTTAGGAGACTAGTTGGACTTTCCATAATTAGACACTTAAATTAGCCCAAATAATTAAATAGTTTAATATAATTATTGAATAAAATG